GCGAATCTTCTCTCTGCAAGCTTTTTAGTTTCTTATGAGTCTGACATTTACAGCTGTTGGCACATTGCCGGCAAATTGCTTCAAATTTGGCTCTGGTCTAAATTTTACTCAAAAAGCCGCGCAAATTTTCTCCCGGTTGACCAAATACTCACTTATTTCGTACAAAGTTCCTTAACGTAGATTGTGAACTGCTTCCTGTTAGTTCGGAGCGTCACCGAAAGTTCGCATCAGCTCCTGGGCAGCCCCGCGTAAAATATACCATTGTCAAGATACGGGGAACTTACCGATTTCTACCTCAGACGCCACGACGTGTCACTAGCTCGCATTGTCATCAGAGGCGAAGTGCAAAAAGCTTAGTAAAAACGTGTTGGACGCTTTCAAGGTTCGGTTCAGGGTGTGCTAGGCACTGGATGCAGTCGTAACATGGAGTAAAACGACGAAATTCGCGAAGAAACGTTTGATTTCGTCTGGCCATAGGTAACTGACAATCTCTTCAATACTCGTTAATTCTTTCTCCAAGTAACAATCTTTGTCAATTGTGTGTCGTCTTTTCCACAACACTCTTGTCTGATAAAAACCTACTGATAAAAGAGGCGATTTTTCGTTGCAGCTTCTACTAATTGCTCTCCCAACATATCTTATGAATATTTCGCAGCCTCAACAGCAGCATTATCTGAGAGAATGGGATTATGCCAATTATTTGGCTTATAATTTGAGATTGTAAAGGGTTTATGTGGATATTTTCTGCCAACACCTTTTTTAAATAATTGAACAAGTTTATTTTCAGTTTTACTCACATATTACCTTGCATTAAAACCTGTTTTAGTCTGGCAATGTCACAGTGCGTATTGCTCTTAAAAAATTGACACGGGTGTCAATCACAGCTGTTGAAGCGCCCCTAAACCTTTATCATCTATGGTAATTCTGTCAATCCTCATGACTTCGTCGCGGACTCTGAGATTATGAATGAATGAATGGAATTAAGAAATCAGGGGGCCTTCCAGTACAGGAAAAAACGACTGTGATGACAGAGCCTACAAATGGAAAAAAATAGAGCGAGGGGGCAATAAAGAGTTTTAAGACCATAGAGAGGCCCAGAAAACGTGATATTCGTGGCTGACGAGGGCAGCTCTACGTCGATTTTCTACTGGGTTGAGATCTTTGTCGGAGGATTTCCTCTGCATACACGCGCAAAAACGTTTTTCTATGTAGGTACACTTTCTTGAAGTGAAAAATCAATTTTTCTCTAAATTAAAATTGTATTATAACCAAGTGGTGTTCAGTAGTGTGGAAGTAACAAGAGGGAGCTTGAGAGACAAATTTCTTATTTATTAACGTCAAAAACAGTTAAAAACTGTGTGGCGTGCAATGGGGAGAAGTTGATTTGAAGTTACATTTATGTCCAGAAGCAAAACAAGGGGCCATCTCCACATTTGCTCGAGGATCAGGGAAACTGGATGAAAACTTGATCGCGATGGGGGTCATTAACCCAGAACCTGAAGCGAATTTTTTGAAGTGAGCTGTTGATACTGTCACCTGCTGAATATGATTACTACGTCGAGAGTTGAAGTTAGACAACGTTTGCTGAAAATATATTCCCGCACATAAGTAAGTCATTTTTGACAAAAACCACTGATATATGAAGAGACTAGGTAATGGTAAAATACGTAGATTAATAAAGAAAGGCTTACAAAAATCACGTGAGTAGAATTTGCAAATTATTCTTTTTTTTTTTTTTTTTTTTTTTTTTTTTTTTTTTTTTTTTTTTTGTAATCTAAAAGTCTGGGAGCTATACGACGTATTTCCCCAAAATATTATGCCATATCTCAGGTGGGAATGAACATTCGCGAAATATACACGAGCGTGAAGGCTGTCTGAACGAATTTTGAAAGCGTAGCGTAAAGAACTTAATTTAGTGTTCAAATCATTTAAATGGACTTTCTATTTAAGGGTTGACTGACGTGAAAGACCTAAAAATGTCGTTACCTTAACATCAGTCACCGTTCATTTTCAATAGAGTACAGAGCTGATTATTTGAAATGAAAAACTGCACTGACACCACTTTCTTTTCATTTACTATTAATTTATTATTATGGAACCAATTTGAAATATCTGATATTGTACTATTTACGGTTTCTTTATTGCAAAGAATATTCGTATCATCAGCAATAGAAACTGTTCTGTTTCTAATCGTCGAGGGCATATCGTTTGCGAATAGTATGAAGAGAATAGGGGCTAACATCGAACCCTGTGGGACTTAACATGCAATTGGCAAATAATCAGGAAGGTGTACATAATGTTCCATTATTCCAGTAAGGTATTTCTACTCTCTGAGATCGTTGTTTAAGATACAAATATAACCAATCTAGAGCAACACCACAAATTATATACGAAGGTAGTTTTGAGAGTCAAATGTTATGATCAATGCTCTTAAAAACTTTTGAAAGATCGAAAAATATTCCAATTAGTGCTTCGTTTTGATCCATGTATGAGGAGACATCTTTAAGAAAAGAAAAGCTGGCTGTTTCCGTAGATTTTGATTTTTGAAACCCATGTTGGCAATCTGAAAACGCGTCATGTTTACTAAGAAATGTTTCCATTCGTACGTAAAAGTGACAAATATTTTTGAAAACAAACAACAAAATAGAAATTGGCCGATAATTTTGAATTTAATTTTTCGTTTAGTTTAGATGAATTTTTTTGAAAAGCCACTTAATCTTGGCTGTCTGGAAAATATCTGGAAAAATTCCTGTGCATAATGATACATAAAATATGTGAGTTAACAGGTGTATAATGGCGGGCGCGCAAACATTTAACAAACAATCCGGAAATTCATCTAAACTGGCGGAATATTTATTTTTTAATATACCGATTATTTTGACAACTTCGTAGGAAGAAGTTTCGGAAACAACCATCGTACCTAAAATTTTTGGGGAAACGTCTGATGCTGAATTTTGTGGCTGAAGACAGATACTGATATCGACAGCAATTCTCGAAAAGAATTGGTTAAAGATACTAGCCACTGTTGCAGAATCGTTCACATATCTTCTAAAACAACATTCTCTACAATGTTTCTAGTTGATCTGGTCGAATTTTTTACTATATTCCACATTGCTTTTGTTTTATTATTTAGTTCAAAATATACTGGTCATGTTTCATGATTTTAACCTGCTGTATGACTTTTTGTAACAATGCTTTTTATTTTTTAAAGTAAGGAGGAAACCTTGAGATACATTATGATACTTAGAAATGAAAGAAAGAATTCGTTTGTTTTTTCATGATGTCCTAATCTTTTGTGTTATCCAATAATTGCTTTTCCGTGAAATGTCATTTCATCTTTTGAAGACGAAATCAAATTTTAAAATGAAATGAAAGCGTTGAAAAAAAAGAATTGTATTTGTATCAACAGCATTGTAAACCACGTCCCGAGACTCTTGTAGAAAGTAATTGATGAATTTTATTTTACTTTTAGTAAATAATCTACTCATACGTGTATTATTTATTGTGTCAGTGTTTGCATTTCTTTTAGTGGTAAGAACTTGGGCAGCGTGATCACTATATCCTAAATCTTTTGTTTCAATTTCATAGCGAGTAGTCGTTTTGTTAATTATGATGGAATTAGTTTTCTCTCGTCTAGCTGTACGTACTGCCAACTGCCATCTATCGCCGCCCAATTTTATTTTAATTTCCTTAATTTTTCGATTTCCTAATAGAAGAACAAAAATATTATTTTAAGAATATTAAAGAACAGTAAAACATTCTCCTAAATAACAATTTTATTTGACAAAATTTAGAGCCGTTTTCAACAAAATGGTATTTAAGCCCTACTGTAAATTCGAAATTTGAACCTTTCCCGGAAAATTATTCAGATTTCGAAAAACTTCATATGAAGTAATTTCAAGAACATCCAGTCACAAATGCAATAGTGTTTACAAATCGCCGGAAATGTGCATTTTAACGGCGCGAGAGATCTTTCTAAGAAATTACATTTGTGTAATTTTATAAGTTACATTTGTGTGTAATAATAAAAAAAATCTCAAAATCCGCTCCAATTTTTTTCTTTTAATATTCTCTACATATGTAATAAGGAACAATAAGAAATATAGGGCTTCCCATTTTGGGATATTGCTTGAATATTTCGAAAATTTGCAAAAATAGATTCAAAACTACTACTCCACAAAACTTGGTAGCTGACTTCACAAGTTGATGAAAATTATTTACATCAAGAGAACAAGATTTATCCAGACTTTAGGTGTCAGAAAAATCGCTTTTAGTGAAGCATTGAAATTCTTTCTCAGTGTAAAAAGAACGCGAGAAAGTTAAAAATGTCGGATTGGTGGAGGGAGGGTTGAATGGGCTCCATGTGGCCCCAAATCGTCTCTTGTGCCACCACAACCACTAGTATTATTAAATTGAGAAACAGGAGAGGAGTGGTAAATCATACTGCACAAAACGTGAAGAGATAGAAGCTACGAAGTCCGAGAGGGGAAATGTGAACAAATATGCGTCAACAATCGATATGAATTGCATTTATTAATTGTATAAAACATCCTCAATGTATTTCAATGAATTGGAATGTGAAACATTAGCATTTCACATGAAATAACTCGATCATATCTACTGGGAATTCATTTGATCAGAAAAACTTCAAAACATATTGGTCGTCAGCGGCGTTCAGTCGACGCAGTTGCATTATGGCGGTTAAGTTAAATGCGGGAAGGGCCGGTCTAACTGAAGAATTTCATCAATGAGAGAAAAAAATAGTTTATGTGGTAAAGCAGGTATATTCTTTTGCTGGTAATAATTGAATACTACAATATCGCGTGAACGTTAACCACACACCGGGGTGTCCTTACGTGGCGATAGCGAAGGATCTACACTTTTAAGAATAGAAGTAAGATTTAATGCAGAAGAGATAAGAAGCCATACAAGTCAAGAATAGACTTTACCACTCGCTTTACACGTAAATAATTAACTAATGCAAATGTTCTCACACTAACCTTCTTTCACAGCCGACGAAACTGCTACAGGTAAAAGCAGGCATGCAATTAAAAATTTGTACATTTTCATGCAAATTCTTCTTCTTGCGACACACAATCCAATCTGCAGCCTCCAAATTGTATGTAGGTCCAACCTTAACTCAGGATACGAAACATATAATTGCTGCGCGAATGAAATTTGTTAACTTTAAATCGATTTCTGCTGTTTTGGCAATTTAACAAAAGCGCATTTCATCTCTTTTCACAGTAATCACCTTTTGGGCATTCCCCTTAGCTATTCGGTTCTACCCGTGTGCTGTGCCGGGCACCTGCCGCCGTGCGACTGAACACTCGACTCGACAACTCATCCGAGGAATGGAGGGGCCTTTGACGTAGCCCCGTTACGCAACCACTTCGGGCGCGAGATTCTGCCGAACCTAATTGAGGGGCCTTCTCTTTTTTTAAATTTTAAATATATGTACATTTGCACTTAATAAAGCTTTGGCTGCATTAGTCTTAAACTCAATCTAGATCACATAATTGAGAGTATACCAAACATTTTCATGCAACCATAGGATTTTGAAGTATAGTTTCTACGCAAAAAATAAACGAGTCTCTGAAGGGTGCAATTGAGGGATTCTTTTTTTTGCTTAGCGAGTACTTTTGAACACGACCTCGACAACGCGATGTGTATTAGTTCTACGTAGAAGTTTAAAGAAGATATGAGCAGTAGGCTTGATGCGCATCTTTGAGAACTTGGAAAAAGACACACGTAGCTTCGTTTTGATGCTAAGTCAACTGAAAGTTAGCACACCGCGAACATAAACCAATACGGTACATTACACTTGGTCAGCAATGAGCCGTTTCTTTCATTGCCATCACTTTGCTGGAAACGTAACTCAACATGTTCAGATGAAGTAAATTAAACGGAAGAAAATACAAATAATAATTATAACAACCAAACAGCTTTAATTTCCAAATTTAATCAATAATTTGTATTCTCCTTATTCAAACACTACATATTGGTCACATTCTAAAGAAATGGACAATTTCATAGTCATTTATTACAAGAAAATAGGTTTTATCAATTCAAATATTAAATAATAAATTTGAACTGATGTAACAAGTATCTTTTAGTAAACGACTGAAATCAGTTTCTCCAAAATGAGGCTGGTCTATAAACATTACAAATTAAAATTCTCTTTATTTTTGACATGAATAAATGGTAGTTACCCAACCACTTCAGATGCTAGTATTAAGTGAATTCATTTGTACACTTAGCACTAAAATAGTACGAGTAATAACATTTTATATACAATTATAGCAGTTCCCCCCTATTTCCAGATAAATTAAGTTTTGTATTTGGATTTTATAATCTTTCTCTTTCCAAGATTTAAATGTTACTAATTGCTATGCCACTTGCCCTAAATTATATTTTAGCTAGTGATCTCTTACATTATTAGTTTGACTCGGCTTGTAATTTAATTATTATGAGAGTTAAACTCTTTTCAAAATTTCTGTAAAGATGACTAATATAAGAACATTAAAGGGTTTTCCGAATTTCTCATTATTTTCATATTCCAAAGCTCTGCCAGAAATGTTATTTTGATTTAAGCTCTGCTTTGAACAAATACAAATTTATTTCAGTGTACACACACAAAAAGGGTGTAAAGGAAGTCATACTTAAGATCTAAATACTTTCAATTTGACAAAAAGGATTAAAGGTAAAAAATAATAAGGGAGACAAATTGTGATATTTATATATTCTAACAAAAAATGTTTTACAATATTACAGATTTGACATGTTACAGTTCTTGTCTTAATTACAACTCACCTTTGAGGGAATTACATAACACAGCTGCACTATTCAAGTAGTGAAGCAAAAAAAGTTAAACTATACAAACTAACAAATGAGACTGGAATAAAAAATAATAGCTATTACTCACGGTAGTACTGGAAACGAAGTAATTACACCTGCAATGTAAGCTATTCTCTGATACTTCAGTGAATATTAGGAATATCAATCTTTCATTTCTTTGACCAATGCATTTGAACTGTGTGTTTCACAGAAGTGAAATTATTTTCCGTTGAGTATCTCAATATACTACAGCTAAAACAATTTTTTCAATCCTTGCTTCTAAACTTGCCCTATTATAAATTTTGAATTTCCTCCCTCCACTCCCCTACCAGACTATAAACAAAATGAACAATCACACTTTTGAACCAAGATGAATACCACTGGAAGAAATTACATTTGTGCATTATTCACTTTAACAGAGCTCGAAAAACCATTGAAAATAATGTAATTATTTCCGCCACCCTCAAAAACATTTGTTCAGTAGAAATAGATTTTGAACACCAGATTTCAGTTTATTATGCAAAGAAAAATTTTAATAAAATCTGGCAATTATTTTAGAACCTAACACAATACATACTTCCTAGAAGAGACACACTCCTCCTAAGCTACACTTTTTAGTGTGACGATGGTTTTCCCAGGTTTATCAAAGCATCGAAATCTACAATATAGCTGGTACAAAGAAAGAAACATTCAGTATTAACTCCAAAGAATTTAATGATTTTGTCCCCAAATGTAATACTCTAAAAAAATACCTAAATTTTGTAATTAAATTTTACCCACTAAAAGGAAGGAAGATTAAACATTTTTCCACTACATCATCAAAAAATACAAAGTATTAGTGTGAAAAAAATACTTCTATTGAGGAGCATCAATAATTATGTCCATAAAATGAAATAATCAAAGGCAAAGAAGGAACCGAACAGAAGTAACTCAACTGTGACTAGTGTTCTGCTGGCATGTTATGTGAGAATATAATAAAAAACAAAACATGAATGAACATTTTTTAAAGAGTCAATCTCCAGAATCCATGAAAAAAATCTGCAATTGTGAAAATACTTTATTGAAATAGCAAATCAGCTCCACCGCAGGCCAACTAAATTTTCTGGGAGAGAATAGACTATGAGAACATTTACAATTAAAAGTGATATACAAAATTAAATCAATGACATTGGACCAAATCACAATTCCTACTCGTTTACTTGAATTGTATTCATTCAGTAAAAACTTAACCCATTAACTAATGCAAGTGGCACAATTATTGTGAGTGAATTTTTCAGCCATTCATTAATAAGCAAGTTCAGGTCTCAATCATTCACAAAATTCCAAATGAGAAAAAAATGCATTTCATTTTTCAAGTCGTTAAGAAACAAAGTTCAAAAAATGCCTGTGAAACCAATTCAAGCAAAGAACACAAAAAATCATTTTATTAACTTTAAAAATGTCTCAGAAAACAAGTACTATGGAATTTAATATAAAAATTACCAAGCTCCATCAGGAGTAAATGAATTTGTAATTTAATGTTTAATGAAACAAATTATAACTTAATCTCCCCCCCCCCCCACACACACACAAAATCACAGGACAAAAACTGTTTTGATGGTTGCCAACTCTTCCTCCCAAAAACTCTAGAATACTACGTTTTTTCTTGTGAACATTGATCAAAACAGAATGATTTATTTTCTGAATTTTAAATATAGATTCTGTATTTTCAATAAATGAATTTGTTTTGCAGCAGTAACATCAAAACTTGTATTGAAATAAGATTCACCCAAAGTGTTTAAAGTAGAAAATGTTTAAAGCACGTTGTTGTATGACTTTCTGACATATACAACTTTTCTAATATAAATACTCGAAATTCAACTAGTAATCTTTCTCTTAAATTACATTAAATTTGGTGTTCATACAATTTACAGCTCAAGATGAAGACTCAACACTGACATTCCCAATTCAGAGCAGAACTTGTGTATTTTAAGCTTAGGATAATTTATTTCATTTATTGATATTGTAGTTACGTCAATGCAGGTTAATGTAACACACACACACACACATCAGTGAATTCAGCATGATTACTGGGCAGCAAATGAAACATTGAATGTGTGGTATGATTTAAGTTTTAGAACCATAGGTTTGAGGAAGTGAACTATTTTCCTTTATTTACACTTTCTACAATTGACATTTGCCTCTATGAAAGTTGTACCTGTTTTACTGTGTATAACGATTGCCATAACAGGGGGGAGAAATCAACCCATGTTCAGAAAGTCATAACAGTAACTAAATTTGTGAATTTCTCAAATAAATTCCCTGATATGTATCCTTGAAACGACTTGAAAGTTTTTATGCAACTTCAATATTGAATTAAGTTTCAAAAATCAATATTCAGTTTCGAATATATGAAATGTAATTTATTTTGCCTGAAAGGTTAAAAATAAACATGACAGAGAGCAAAAAAGGTAAGAAAGAAATCATTGTTAGGCTTCATTATTTACTACTTTATATTAAAATGTTGTTAGAATGAGAACATCTTGGGCATTTTAGACAAATTACCTAGAATGTACTAGTTTTCTGAGAAAAATTGATAAAACCCATGTGATAAGGATTAAATTACAACTTGTATAGAAGCACTAAGTAACTGCACTCTGAAAAAATTAAAAATGACATGATATCAGTAGTTTCAACAAATTCATATCACAGATCACTGCTGCCCTTGTATATCTGAAAAGCAAACAATTTTATTAATGCGCCTTAAAGACAACCAGATTGTTGAATCCTGTCCTGAAAACAAAACAAAACAAAACAAAAAATCAGTTAAATACGGATATTTGTTGTTGCCACCACGATATAGTAAGGTTTACCCATTCATAGCCCCTAGAAAACTCTCGAATCATCAGATCTTCCAATTCCCTGTGTACCCCACACATTGTTTCACTTTCACATAAATACCATCTCTTCTAAATCTTCCTCAAAAGGAATAGAACAAATCTATCATTAATAATGACTGTTATGGAACAAAAATAATTTAAAAAATCAAAAATCTTGTTTTTCAGGTCTTGACTTAGAGGTAAGACTTGAATAACATTTCATGAGAAGTTTATGTTACACAATTGTCAGTCTAAGGACCAAATCAACAACTTAAAAGGTCAGAGCTGAATGCTAGTCTGAAGCAGTCTGATGGCACCAATTACCACATCAAGTTTTCATTCTGCAAATTCGGGTTGTGTCAGATTGCAGTTCAATTTCAATTTTTTTTTTTTTCATGCAAGCACCAAAAACTCAAAATTTTCAACTCTTCAATAAATAAATATTCTATACAACACTTCGGTGATACGGCATTTGAAGACTCTTCATGCTTCTCTCACAATCCAAATAAATTTCATGGGTTTGCAATTCCAAGTAGATGATAAAACTCTTGTATTTTCCTTTTAACACTACCAAATACTGTTTTCACTTGCCATACCAACTACTCTACTTAGATCTTCCATTTAGCATCAACAACGAAAGTGACAATTTTCAAATCTTCAGTAATAAAACAGTGCAAAAACAATCAGGCAGGAAATCTTCATTATTCTAGCTTCAAAGCACTTCATTTCTGGGGCCAACTTTGTCAACATCATTCATTAAACTTGACGAGTACTGCAACTATGTCATCTGTGAAGCTCTTCAACTGGTGCTCAAAATCGTTCATTTTCCAAATTGAATATAAAGGTAATTTCAAAAGAAATATCCACTGATGTTTGTTTCTTCAGTGACTTACAGCCAGACATCTACACTTACAGTAACATGATACATCATTATTTGTACCGCAACTCAATAAATTCGTCGCCAACCCCTTCCACGGAAGCCCCCTCGTGGCCTGCCTCTGCCTCTTCCTCGCTGTGGCACTGGAAGAAAGAAAAAACAAACAATAGTAAATATATTCAAATGTTTAAAATATCAATTGCATATCTGAACATTTCATTTTGACCTTTGACCAAAAAATTTAAAACTTTTGCTTTCTCCTTAAACATATTTGGGACAATTTTCACTTTGAGTGATCTATTCCTAACATTTTTCCAAGGTGAGGGTCAGAGGTCATAGACTGAAAATTTGTCGATATTTTAAATGTACATTTGGACGAATGAGCACACTAAAAATTTCAGATGCTTATATAATAGAGATATTTTTACTTTCTCTAATATTACTTACAAAGTATAGAGAAAATATAGTAATGTTGCAGCAAAAACTGTGATTCACAGAAAAACTTTTATATTCTCTTAACATGTGTAGTAAGAATCCACATTTTGTATGTATGTTTCATGCTGAAAAATAGATTTATCACAAAAACATCCATCTGTAAGTAACAATTGTTTAAACTGCATGATTTCCTCCAAAACTGATTTTTCCGAATGTAAATGGGAAAAAGGTGGGGTAAGCTAACCCAGACTACAGAGATTAGACAACCAACTAGTATGAGAATGTTTGCAACATTCTGTAGCCCCGCTACTCTAAAACTAGTGGTGCTAAAACAACTTGTATTTTCAAACAAAATTATGCGAAAAGTACTAAAATGTTCAAAAAATTGTATATGACTTTTTTTCAAAATCTATGAACAAGCAAGTTTTCATTGAGGGAAAGACCCTAAAAAAATTTGGAACTTCTGCAATTTTCGAAAAATTAGGGTTTTCAATGAACATGAGAAGTGCACCATTCTCTTAAACGTCCACACTGTCCAACAAAAAAATGTAATCAAAAACAATGAAGCCTTTTTTTTTAAAAATGATCTAGGGCATTAAGTAATTTCCTCCCCCAAAATTAAAATATCTGTTTAAAATTCAAGGGGCCGCAAGTTCGATTGGGGTATATCAAATTTGGAGAAAATTAGCTGAATGGTTTATCTGCTAGCGTTGTTCAGACGGAATGAGACAGACAGACGTTATGCTATCTTTGGTTTTTCGGTACCAGGGACCCACAAAACATGGATTCTGGCTACACCATGTGTCAGAATTTCCCCCCTAAATTAAGGAACTGGATTTATCGACATTTTTCATTACCAGGGCCATGTAATAAAAGAGTTTATATGTTGAAAATTCAAGGTCTTTTTTTCACACAGGATTACATAACTTTCTCTTTAAAGTAATAATTTATAATTGACGAGAGTACTAGTTAGCTATTGGTAAGAATTCACTTAGTGTACTCTCACCACTAACAATGGAACAGTTGCAAGGAGAATTCAAACGGTTAAAGAAACTCAGACGATTGGTTTGCAGAGGTGATAATTAATGCAATACAAGTGTTGTCATTAGGATGCAAAAAAATGTAACTGGCACACTGTGTGCAGATCTGAGTAATTACAAGTTAAATTAAAACAATTGAATCAGTACTTACTGTAGCCAGAAACTTTATTACTATACTTTCCACTGGGAGGTGTGTACATTTCTCTTTGTGGTTTATCTCCTTTACTTTGTTTTGGTGGTGATTCTCCACTGCTAAATGTAATAGGAGTATGCCGTTTCATACTGGAAGGTGCGTTGTCCTTCTGGGAAGAGAAGTATTATTTAAGGATTAGTCACAATTCATTTGAAAATTACAGAAGATAACATAAATTATGACATTTTTCACAAATTTGAATTGAGTGTTTCAAAATAAGATTTAGCCACCTGCTCAATTTTATACTGCAGAAAATGGAACTAATTATGCTGGTCCATGAATTGAAATAAAAGGCTCTGATTTACATAAATACACAGTTTTAAGTTTGAAGACTTCCAAACTTATCACAAGCATTTCAATGGAGTATTTCTATTAAGTATCCACCCTCACCCAATAGCAGCACAAACTCAATCCTCTCTTCTTTGTTTACAGAACTAACGACTGTCATCTTAGCCTGCTTACATTCCTGCAGTGTGCTGGGCAGAAATGAATTTCAGAAATACTGATGGATACATTTTCATACTCATGTTGCAAAGGTAAGTTGTTTGAACTGTATTATGGAAAATGGTTAATCCATCTTGTTGATCTGCATGTTCTACTTTATACTCTCATCTACCTTTTATGCGAGTATGCATAAAAGCGTTAGCAGTTTATTCTGCTGCATTATAAACAAAGAACTTTTTGATATACGGGCTTTGAACAGTAAACTGTACATTACAGAAAAATCATGTTTTTACATTCCTTTTTGTTGGTCCTGTGATAAAACCTATATTTACAATGCACTCTCTTCCTTCAATTTACAAGTTGATATAAAGAGTACTTCCCGTCTTTTACATCATTTTTCTTTTTCTTTTTGACTTTCTCGTATACATACGTATTATACGAAGTACAGAGAAAGTTATGTGATGCTGCGGAAAAAAATGGTGATTTTTCAACAGAAAATTTCATACCGATACAGAAAAGTGGATAAATCCTGTTCCAAAATGTAATTACTGCATATGTATGTAACGAACTTGCAAAAGTGTCGAGTTGGTTCAGATCAGCTGGGGAATATCAATTTTGGAGAAAATAAGCTGATGAATCGGGCACTAGCGTTGACCACAAATGTTTTGCCATCAATAGATTTCGCTGTTTCAAGCATCCCTAAATCATGGATTCAGACCACACCACATGTTAGAAGTAGTATTTAACTGTATACAGAAATAAGATTTATCCACTTTTTCATTACCAGGGCTCATCAATAAGAGATTTTCTGCACGATTATACTTTATCTTCTTACAAAAGGCGAGAAGTAAAACAGAGCCACAATTGCAGTAAATAATGAAAGTACTTGCACAGCCTATAGTTTTTCAACTTTCCTGTATTTTACACTTTTTTTTATAGGTCCCCTGAAAAGTGTAAAAACAGGGTTTTACTGTATAAAGACCTCTGAATTACTGCACATATACCACCAGCAATGTTTATCAGAATCAAAGGCACACAATGTTTACAAATTATGAAAACTACTGTCTAAGAAATAAACTGAGCTTTTGAAACACACACAGAAGTGACTTCTTAGGAAGCAGCCTCATTTCTTTAGGTGTTTTTTCAAACAAACCCTTGTAGGATGTGGTATGACCAAGTAATTTCATACTTGAGAACCAACCACTGAAATTGCCTAGACAGGTGCATGCACATGCACTATTACAGCCTTTGCAGTGTTCTGTGACGGAAACAGAATTTAAAAACTCTACTCCTATCAGACTAGACAAAATCTGAATGTTAGATGACCTTTCACTAGAATAGAGATATTTAGAGAAAATAAAAGCTTTACATTTGGATTAATGTGGTGTTTAAAAAAATGGAAAGAAACTATATCGACTAGAAATCAGAAACTTATTTCATACCCATCGCTCTTTTCAGGCAATGGGTCGTTTCAGATTTAGATGTATTTTGTCAAAAACAGAGTAAATTAATGAAGCAACATTTGAAAAACTAGACATTTTCATTCCCGAGTTATAGAAAATATTTGCAATGGTAAACGAAATGCAGGTTTGATTTCCCTGCATTGCTAACAAAATAGTAACTCGCCCTTACCTCTACTCCTACCACTGCAAGCAAAAGGAGAGTTCAACAAAACGTGTGCATAATGAAGCTACATTTACATCCAGAAGCAAAATAAGGGGCCATCTCAGCATGTGCTCAATGGATCAGGGAAACTGGACAAAAACGAGAGGTTCTGGGTACTACATGATGAGCATCCCCTGAGTATTTTCTTTCTGTTATATGTACATTTCATCTGAGGTTCGACTGAATTGAGAGCTCTAGTTTTTTCTTTTTTTTTTTAAACATTAACATGAGCTAAATTACATATTGTTCATTTGCAATGGAGAATGCGATTGCTGATTTGAAATGCAAAAATGTATTGAAACTATTTTTCCTTTGTTAACAATTAATTTGTTAGTATGATTTCAGAAGTTTCAATTGGTTCTAATACTTATTTCTTTTTTGCAAAGAACATTCCTGTCATCGATACAATTTTATATCAAGTCTCAAGATTTGTTCAAATAAATTTCCAAAAGGAACTCTATCTCAAATTAAAACTGGAACTGGTTGCAAACTAAATACTGGCTGAACTCATAAAATATTAAACACATACTTCTACCATTTAAAAATGACTTACATTATTAGAATTGGAAGCAGGTTTCCAAGACAGACTGATGTTACTTTTATAACTTGGAGGACTGTGAAACAGGTCCTTTATGAGAGTATTGATGTTTGAAGTAGTTTTCAAAGCTACCACTTTGATTTTATTCTCTTCAGTCTTCAACTCTTCAGGTGTCTTACCCTGAAGGGCTTCGCGCAATTTCTTTATATAACCCTGTATACCTCGTGCGAAGTACTGTAATCTGAAAGTAAAAGATTTAATGAATGTCTGCATGAATTTACACCTTCCTGAAAATAATGTACATTTTTATAAGTCGTAATTTCTCCCCAACATGTTTTTAACTGTCTGCTAATTTTACAAATGATTGATCAGTTAAAAGTCTTCCTAACAATGATTTTATTTAGCTTTTACATCAACATTTAATTTTGAGGGTCCTAATGTTTTTGAAGTATTTTCCTACCCAAATTCTGTGTATCTTTCATACATTATTCAGCGTACATTGACTAAAGATCACTGCAATATCAAAGAAATTTTAGTGTTAATTTTCCCCAAAATTGTTCAGAAGAAAATAAAGCAAAGCTTGGGTGCCTGTCACTGTTTTTTGATATCAGAGGTGACCAATCAAAATATCAATTTTTGTTTAACTAATAAAAACCAAGCAAAAAAATTGACATTTAGCAATATTATTTAAGAGATATTTGTTTTATAATAGTCTCAAATCTTCTAAAAATTCCAACATTTTCTGGCGGTTCAGAGAGTGGTGTCTTGAACTTAATAAATTATACATGCCCAATTTATATCCTTCACAAATATACAATGAAAATCACCTAAATCTAAAATCTTTCAATCGGTCAGCATCCTTAGTCAAAAATTCAGGCGATTGTCGTGCCAGACGATGAAAACCATACATCAGGCACTCGACATACGAAAATTCTAATCGTGGTTCTTCCTGAGTTGAATTTTCAGCTTCTGAATCAGGAGGTAGAGGCATGTATTCCTGCAACACCAAGATCATAATTAAATTTGATTAAAGACACTCTTTATGATTTGCTAGTAGTGTTTCTTCACAAGATTCAAGTGTGGCTTTAATCACACTTCCTTCTATGCTAAAGTAGGCCTTTATGTTCACCAAGTTTAAAGTAAAATGTAAACAAGCTAGAGATAACAATGCATAAGAAAGGAAAAAATTATTAATATATTTACAAAATCATTCTTTAAATAACATATACATATAAAAAAATATATATTTCATTTTTTAACAGTTATTGAAGTTGAATCCTGCAATACTTATTTTGTCTTTTGAATTCATATCAATGCTTGTGTTGCTTTTTTCAGAAAGCTTTGATTTTATTCGTGACAGATTCATCAATGTATCCTTATACTCTGTTGGATTTCTATCTAGCATGCCTTTTTAATATTAAAGCTGCTAGCAGATTTATGTTGAAAGCAATAGTACATCCAGTATATATAATCTTATTTGGCAGGTTTAAAAATTTTGCAGTCATCATTGACGACTTTCAAAAATATTTTTTTCCGAACCGGTGAAAACTAACTTAGCATCACATTATTGAAGTCTAAATAATACTTAATACTTCTCAGGTACTGTATTTGAAAATGTTGCCATCCTTCCAATGCACAAAATAAACCAACTATAACCACAGCAGCTTTGAGTACTGGAAGTAACTGCATGATGGTCACCACATACAGTACTTACAGTGGCTATAGATTATTTTTAAACTTTTTTTAATAAAATAAATATATATTGAGTGAATAAAGCTCAGATACGCCTTGTGTCATATACAATTATATATATATATATATAATGCCCATTGTACTCACTATTAATCTTTCAAATATTTCTTCGACTTTTGCATCTGGATTCTCTAATGTTCCACAGTGGGTACATAATTCAGCAAAGAGTTTCAAAATTTCTAACTGAGGATCTGCACCTTCTTCACTAGATGAAATATCACCAAACTGTGGAAGTACTTGATCACACATGTATGCCACAAAACGAGCAGAATCCACCTGTGACTGCATAAGAAAAGTCAATAAGAAAAACAATCAATTGGAAGATACCAATCAAACAAATTGAAGTATTGTAATGCCACGTCAAGAGAAACTTGCATATTGTACAATTCATCATGCGTTTTCCTTCATTTTAAGGAACCTCTATTACATGGTTGCTGAACACTGACAATTCTGAGAAAAAAGAAAAGTTCTTAGAGATCACTCGAGGGGATTCCCATTAAAAGCAAGTAACATGCAGTTAACGAGACAGGCAAATATTTATGAAATGAAACATCAACATCTTCAGTTAATTGTCAGTTAACTTTTATAGCTGCACAAATGCTTATATCTTCTTGCATTGAAGACGAAGAAAGCATCCTTTCTACTATATATAATAAAAATTTGAAGCCGTTTTTGTGTGTGTGTATATAAATTTCATAAATTTAAAGCGCAAATTACATGAAAACTACTGATTTTTCAAAAAATTGTACATAACTTTAAAAAAAAGAGCAGATTTTTTACAACAGACTTTGTCAAAGGCAGTAAAGTCTCTTTTGACTTCGTAGTTTTATACTGTTCTTTATTACAGACAAGGATAAAATTTACAGAAAAAATTGCCTATATTTTGAGCAAAATTACTCATTTTCAAAAAAATTGAACATAAACTTATTTGAAGATCCACCTTTAAGGAACAGAATTCAATAGGACAAGAATCTCTACATTCAATGTTGTAGGAAGACTTCCCCAAAAAATTGCACTTTTGGAATTTCATTGAACACGAGCCAAACATGATATAAAAACAAAGCAAAGCAATTAATGCCTAATACTTACTGAAAAATATGGTAGAGCTTGTCGTACACATTGAATTAATCTGTCAACATTATCGTTTTCAGGATCCCTTGGGTCAAAATCATTATGAATATCTGCCTGTTCCGCAACAAGATCAACTAATTCTTGCTGACCACTCACTGTCTGCCCCAGGCGGGTCCATCCTAAAATATCCATTAAGTAATGGAATTCATCAGCTGTGACATCCTATGTGCAAAGCAAATGCAAAAAAACTAATTAGTTACAAATGTCATCACAACTTATTACTCTGAAAAAATAAAATTACCACATCTTGTACACTACTACTACATAACTATTTTTACAAGAGTTATTAGAATATCTTATAAACAGACATACCTGCAATACTTTCTTGCATTCTGAAATAAGAAATTCTTCACTTTCTTTATTCACAACATCATGACCAAGTGATTTGACTTTAGTTGCCAAAAATTTTAGGCACCTTTCACGAGTGAGGTCATCACCTTGCAAAACTTGAGTGAATAAGCCACCCAGGGAAGCTACAACATTGAACATAAGTACTCCATTTTAAATTACAAATGGAATATAAAATTTCATATCATATCATATACAATTTCAATCATAATGAATGAAAGCAAATATTTTGAAAAATAAACATCACAAACTGTTGGGCCCTTCTTTCTCATTTAAAAAATTAAAAACCAATTTTGCCATTTTTTTCCCAATCTGAGAGGAAAAATATTAGAGTATTTTATATTATTTAATGAAAATATTAAATCTAAACAACTTCTTCCAATTATAATTGTAAAACAAATGTTCTACATGAGATATACGTGTTATTTCATTATATTCATTGATCAATTGGGTAGAATTGCCAACATAGCATTAGAATCTAATAATTTTCACTGAAACATTGGAGGACAACCTAATTATGAAGAGCCCCTCCCACTTTCATGTTGCAAATAATTCTTAATATGGTCACATTAAAATTTCAAATTATCTTTATGAATGGAAAATTATATTTTTGGTGAAAGTTTGAAACTCTTTTTGCATGTGCTCTTACTATTTCTGGACTTCAAGACTTCATTTGACTTTTAAAGATCTGAAAGGTTTGCGTGTTGAATTTATCATTCTTCTTGCGGCCGCCTAAGGACTTTATATTCTACAACTCCAAAATTTCTTGCTGCTGTGCTTCCATGCGATTCTCTAAATTTAACGACAAGAATGGTCCAGCCTAGAATTGCAAACGCCTATGACCTGTATGTCAGCAAAATATCAGAACAATATTCGGCAGCTTTCATCTTGGGATTTCTCTTACTACAATGCTGTTTGTAAAAGATTCACTTCATTAGCCAATCCAAAAATATTCACCTGAATTGCCTATGCCTAGAACACATCTGCTAATATGATTAGGTTTTTATTAATGTGGTCTTATAAGGAATGAAACATTTGGCACAAGGATATAACCTAGAAGTTCCAATAGATAATAAAAAACAGTTTTAAGCCTTTTATATTCAAGACTTCAGAAAAAGATGAAAATGACTAATTTCCACAGAATATTCTAATAGACCAGCCATCTAAGTATTTCACTCAACCAGCAAATTCCTCAATCCTTGCAAATACAGTGTTCAGTGAAATATACACTAGAATTGTGCTTAAATTTATTTAGGATCAAGTCTGCACTGTGAGAGACTATGACAAAACACTTGCTGTCCAACTTGGAAGTAACTTCAAGTAATCATCTAAAAAGGACATTATTTGAGTTCGCTTAAAAGCGATAAATAAAACACACAAACTTTGGACCAAAAGCAAATAACTTTATCGGCACCACCTCTCTAAAATATGGTGTCTATTTAAACTATAGAGTTCCCATAACTTTTAAAACCACCCTAATAGATGCGTGCTCAGGACGACTGTGTCCCCCCAGCCAATTTTGAAATAAATCTACTAGCTTAATTAAATTAAATACTTCACTTCTTTAATATCCCTTTAAACATTTTTAATATTTGATTTCCTTCTTACTTTCTCACATACTATTTACGCAGTATGAAGAAAGTATTGCACTGTTGAGGAAATCTGATTTTTCAACAGAAAAACTCTTATTGCTGGGTCTTTGTAAGGACGAGAAAGTAATAAGTGGTATTCAGAAAGACTGTCTTTTACAATTCTACATGACAGGAATTTATTTCCAAGAAAGACCAAACTAAACAAAGAAACCTGTTCAAATTGGCACCTAAATTAAGCAGACACCGCCACCTTCCTAAAATAAGGCCATTATAATCATTGAACCAACTGTCTCTGGTTTAAGAAACAAATAAGAGTCCACCAGACCAGAGGCCAGGCAAATTTCATAGATTTATGGATATGAAGTGGTCACCTCTAGTGATTTTTAACTATGAGAGAAAAAGAGGAAGAGTTACAGTGAAGATTACTCTTAATTCAGCTTCAGCTCTGGAAAGAATTAAACCAGTATCTTCCTGTGATGGGGTAGCATTGTCACAATTCTTACAACTTAGAAATCTAGAGTGGTACATCTTTCTGGGTGTTCATTTCTGTTTGAAATAATAGTTTAAATAAATGTCTCGTTTGAAATAACGCAACTGCAATGAAAATTCATGGAGTTCGCTAATCTATGTTTTCCCCCTGGGGGGAAATTGTCAATTGTCAGTGAAGCACACTGCACTACACGAAACTTATCAAGTATTTGCTCTTCCTAAAGCCTCATAACCTCAATTATGAGGCCACTTCTTAAGACATTTGTTTAATACAGGACTGCATGCCAATTGTCACATCTAACACGGGCAAGGGCTGCAAGGGACAAAATATTGCCAACTAATCTGTGGTAATTCCCTGTTTTGCTTGAATTTCTGACAAGCAGTAGAACCCTGTGGACCTACTTGTCGAGTTGGATGAATTTCGAAAGAACTATATGACAACCAAGAATAAGCATTACAAATTAATAATAATAATAATAATAATAATAATAATAATAATAATATTTTTTTAAACAAAGACAAAAATGTTTTAGAAACTCAGTTGCAGTACGGTTACTGGCCACACACTTGTGAGAGTGTCACACTACATTCCAAATAACTTTGTACCTCTTGCTATCTATTAGACTCACCTTCTGTCTTCATCGTAAACAAGATGTAACAAATTAAAATTTTAACTGAAAGGAACACTATACTAATTCTCTCATCTTTCTAAGAAGCCCTGCAAAACCAAATCAATTAAATTTACTGACTTTCCCTTTCCTGAATTTCCAGGAAGTGGCCATTTTGTAATTGACACTACATTGGCCTAAAAATGAAACATTAAAAAATTTGAAGGAAGGGAAGAAAATCGAGGAGAGAAAACAACTATATAAGAATTTCAGCGTTATAATTAAAATAAAATTATCTGTATCATAGATCAAGTATAAATGCCCAAACTTAACATACCTTTGCAGTCTATTTTAAAAACTGACATTAAAGAGTTATAAACCACATTCAATTCTGAACTTTCATCGGTTTGCAATAGTTGTGCCAAAATATCTGCTATCTTCTGCACATGTTGTTTTGTGTCTTTGCACAGGTTTGGAAGATCTTTAATGGCTTGCTTTCTGATCTAAAATAAAACAAAATAATTCAAAGTATTAACTAATACGTTATAATATTACTCAACAATTGCGGTAATGATTTTCATCAAGGAAAATTTCTAAACAGATTCCAATCATGCATATCACATTTTAATGGAAACAACCATACTTAGTTCTAAAATAAGCTTGAAGTATCTGCACTATGTTAGTCATATAAATATTTATCTCAAGATGTGCCTGGACTAATCCATTTATATTGTGTAGAAACATGGTGCGCAATCAGTATAGAGAGGACAGAGTTATGATAATACAGAAATGAGCTCTTAGATGCAAATTTCAGCAGCATTTAACCAATTTTTTTTTTAAATACAAAATAATGACTTGTTGCATATAGGATAATTTTGCTCATGAAAATAACTCTCACCTTATTCAAAACAAATACTTATATCAATACAATACAAGAGGAAAGGAAAAGTATCACAGGATGTACTTTGCAAAATCCTCCTCAAAGAAGGATCCTTATCGGAATGCTGCAATGCTCTTCAATATATTACCTAACCATATTAAGGAGTTTAATAAAAATAAATTAAAAGAATTATTTAATTGAAACTTGCCTGTATAAATGAAAGGAATTAACAGAGAGCAATATTACAATATTTATATAATTTATTCTTTAGGATAAGGTATTTTATTTACTTAGGATAAGCAATTTAGGTTTAGATTGTCATTTCTATTACCTTGTTAAAATGCAAATAACTGTATTTAATTTTATTTATAAATAAATGAAAACTGTTGAAGAAAGAATATTGCATGTTTACCGAAGTATGACGATGCTTCAAGACTTGTAATATTGATAATAATATTAGGCAAATAAATTATTATTATTATTGTCATCATCATGGCACTCCGGCATTTTCAAAATTACATAAAACAGTATAATTTTGTAGCTACAATGCAAGAAAAGTACACTTCAAAACTATCCAAAGTAATATTTTAACACAATTCTTTGGTCAAGAGTTGGAGTATGCAAAGTTAGTTGAAAGCACACCGAAAGAATAGCATGTGTCTTCTAATTTTCAGCGATAGTGGGCTGTCTGTTTGCTTTCCATGTGCATGGCCTCACTTTGAACTTCTTCAGCAAAGAATTCACATTAATATGCTCACATACTTTTATATATGATTTGTAACGAATCTTACAAAAATGTATTAACTGATGATTAAAGGAGAGAACTAAATCACTCAGGAAATTATCCCTACTGCACTCATTGATCTAATACTTCAAGGCATTTACAATGAATGCATAGAGGAAGAAAACATTTTGCACAGTAATGATGATCTTTGTTTTAGAACCTTTCAAAATAACCCACTAACCTAAATAAAGCACAAACTAATTCAGACATGCACATCAGTGCATTTCAGTTACTATTCTGACACCCAAAACCCTTATTAATGTTCCTTCACTCTACCCATTGTCAGCCATATAAGTATCAATTTTGCCAAGGAAAATTTTAATACTTAATAAGGTTCACTCCTTGATTTAAATATTTCCTTTTTAACATGATTTCAATTCAATTTATATCGTGTACCTCAGTAAACCCACAACTCAAACTGAAAGATATCCTTTGGAATATAAAAATTATAGTTTCGTTCAACAGTAAACAAAATAAAAAAATAAGATGCACATCCAAAAATTTAAGCAATATGGAAATTGCAAATTTATAATCAAATGCATTTGACAAAGGGTTGTACCCTCTACACCCCAGGAGTTGAATGAACACTTCTAATTGGATACAAATTTGACCATATGTAAAGTTCCTCCTACCAAACACAAAGGCAACGGAATCACTCTTACAAAACATGAACATGAAAAGAGAGGAAATATGACTGGAGTTCTACACTACTGAGGCAATGTGTAACAGAAGCTGGATGTCGGCAGGCTGTGAGATGCTTCACATGGCCTGCAGTGCATGATTTTCACCATCTGCTGTGCAAAATAAAAACTTTCCATGGCCCAGAGGAAACGTGTGCAAACTTGGAAGCACCTGTGATCGATACCATATCCAGCAGTGTAAAGAAAGGAGGCTGTCAATCAACCAGTTTGCATGGATAAACAGTAAATGTATGACTTAGTGATGGTCTTTAAAGGTGATATTTATTTACTTTTATTGTCTTTACTCTGTAAAGAGGTTGGGGATATGTAGATTTTTTGGTATAATGTAAGTTCCTCTTCCAAGGCAGCATAATTAATGTAACATTCAATTATTACCATAATTACAATTTTGCATGACAAACTTACAGATACATCTTCATCTTCACACAAATCAAGCTGGGCTTCTATTGCTTGATCAGCCAAATTTGGAAAGTGCTTGAAGAATCGAACAATAAACTGAGATGCTAACCTCTTTTCTTTAGCTGAGCCTTTCACAGCTGTGATTATTTCAAGATATTCTTTCTCATGCTGAAAATATTAAAGAACAATGTTTGAGAAAGGCATCGGCACTTGCCAACATTTCGGCAAATCATTACGTCAATGTTTATAAAACAATTAGTTGTGCCAATGCATATTATGGTAACGGAAATCAGCTCAGCATAATTAGATATTTATCAGCGTATTCAATGATGACGCAATACTTACTTCGCCGATTTTATCCTTTGCGTCGGCCAAAATCCCGAAATTTTTATATAACTTCTCAATACTGTCGACACTCATGGTTGCATTAAATCTTTCCTCTCAAATGTGTTTCCGTAACTTCCGTTAAAGAACAATTCAATCACTCTTCCACTAATAAACAATAAAAATATGTGTGCATACCAACCGAATTTAACGAATGGAAGTTTCAAAAACTCTTAAAGTCTGAAAAAACAATAGCACACCCTCGTTCCACGCCAATATCGTCAGTACTCAAAGAGAAACGAGAACAACCTGAGCTCTTGCAAAAGCGTGCCGCCTTTATAATAGAATATCTCAGAGAAAAATGTTGCAAACTCTTAGTCGCAGAAAATTGAAACAACCGACTACCAACTGTCCATGAAGCCGACAGTGAATGCGTTTGCTATTGTGTACAATGTCTAAGGAACTATATAACATGGTGCCATAAATTAGACAACATTGAATTTCGAGGCCAAATAATTACTACATAACTTACATTTAGCTAAATACCGCTCTATTGCGAACCCTTTTGTAATTTTTTATTTAAACAATCGAATGATGTTTTGCGTAAGCGCTTTTTATCCCTGGCACCGATTTTATTCAAGTAGTGTATATTAATACAAAGACTTCGCTATTGCTTAATATAGTATTTTTATACAGGACCAGTTCAATTCCAAAAAACGATTTTCATTAAACACAAATGATATTCACACAAATTAATATATTAATAAATAGCTTAAAACTATGTATACTCTAGGCTTTTCAGCGAGAAGCCAATTATTATTCCACTATATATGTTGGTACTAAATGTTTCCATATATGAGATTCGTGTATCGTAGGGGCATGCGTTCGGTTGCGTACAGCATGTTACTGACCGCATGCTGTAACTTGTACCAGAGCTGTGTATTATATACGCGTATTTTACATAACAACCCACAGCAAATTTTGCCGCTTTTGTCTAGCATGCTCACAGAAAGCATAATTAAGAGCTGAATTAAGTGATGGTGATAACGTGTGTGGGATGAGTGTGCGCGTGTGTTAAATGATTTAATAACTGATGTATGACCTGTTCACATCTAGCATTTTGTTATTACATTGCACTTTACTATAAAATCTATTGATACTCGATAAATTGAACGTAAATTAATAGTGTGTTCATCATGGAAGGTCAATTTAGTGATGCGGAAGAAGACTGTCAGCACGTTACGTTTCAGAGAGGAAAGCCGCTGACAATGCCTCGTGAATTAGAATCTTTTGAAAATCTGACTGTTGACAATTTGGTTAATGAGGCTGATGAAAGTGATGACTTTTCAGATGATGGGTTTTATGAAACCCACATTGCATCTGGCATCTCATCAATAAATGCTGTATCTGTTGGAAATTTTAGTTGCCAGGACAAAACTTCCAAAGTGAGTGACTATCAACCTCCAGATAAAATATTTAAACGTTATCTGAATAAAATAAATGTAGACAAATTCGAGGGACTACATTTGCCAGGCAATGTTGGGAATTCTCTTCTTGAAAGCAATAGAAAGGCAGACGCAGAGAAGAATCGAAGAAAAGATAAACATGATCGAGCTACTGTAGAACAAGTGCTTGATCCCCGAACTCGAATGATTGTTTTTAAGTTGTTGAATAGAGGTACGATAACAAACATAAATGGTTGTGTATCAACCGGGAAGGAAGCAAATGTTTATCATGCTAGTGGAAAGGATGATGAAGAGTATGCCATAAAAATATATAAAACATCTATAATGATATTTAAAGATAGAGAGAAATATGTTTCTGGCGAGTTCAGATTTCGCAACGGATTTTGCAAGCATAACCCTAGAAAAATGATTAGAACCTGGGCAGAAAAAGAAATAAGAAATCTGTCACGTTTGCACAGTGCTGGTATTGTTGTTCCTCAACCTATTCTTCTGAGAAGTCATGTTCTTCTGATGCAATTTGTCGGACACAATGGTTGGCCAGCACCAAAATTAAAGGATGCTGATCTTACTACATCCAGAGCATGTAAATTATATAGAGAATGTGTTATTATGATGTGGAAAATGTTCAATAAAAGTAAATTGGTGCATGCTGATCTTAGTGAATTTAATTTATTGTATTATGAAGGACAAATTTATGTTATAGATGTTTCTCAATCAGTAGAAAATGATCATCCACATGCTCTGGAATTTCTTCGCAAGGATTGTACAAATATTAATGAATTTTTCAGAAAGAAAGATGTGGCAACTATGACAGTCAAGGAATTGTTTGATTTTATTACTGATCCAACTGTAACAGAAACAAACATGGAAGAATATCTTGACAGAGTTTCAGAAATTGCAGCTGTACGAACTATTGAAGAAAGAACGGCCCAAGAACTTATAGACGAAGAAGTTTTCAAAAAAGCATATATACCAAAAACTTTGAGAGAAGTTGTGGATGCTGAACGTGATATTATGAATGCTAAAAAAGGTGATGCGTCTCTTGTGTACAAGACCATTGTTGGAATGAAAGATGATCTGTCTGAACCACAAAAGGTTCCTGAGATTCTGTTGAATTCAGGAGCATCCAGCAGCTCTGAAGATGATGCCTGTGATGAAGAGACTGAAAAATCAAATTTTGTTGACAGTGCTAGACCAAGAGATGAATCACCTAATAGTAAGAAGTTGAGAAAGAAAGCTGTAAAGGAAAAGCAAGCTGAGAACCGAAAAACTAAAATGAAAAAGAGTGAAAAGAAAAGACTGGAGAAGAAAGGCAAGAAAAATAAATAAGGTATTCAAGAAATTAATATACATAAGTATCAATGGATGGGTAGTATGTTCAGTTTGGCAATTGGATGTACATAGTCTGTAATTATGAATGTTCTTTTAATCTGTTAAGAGAGACTTGTAGATAAAGTTGTCATTAACATGTAATATTGGGAGAATATCTTATATTATTTTAATGAGTAAACATGTTATTTTTTCTTTTTCAATTGGATATCAGAATTCCTCACTCAATTTGGACAGTCCTTACGTGAGTAAAGTAGTTTCCCTTTACCTAATGGTTCCAACTTCTTCGTACATTGACTACAGCTTCTACTCTGACCTAATTTCTTTGCATATTTAGGGGTATCTGCAAATCTTGTTTATCTAATTTCTTTGCATATTTAGGGGTATCTGCAAATGTTTGTTATCTTGTTTTCAGTCCATTTGTTGTGAAGCTATGGACTTTTAAACAATCAAGTGCACCATTTTGTCTTTAAATTTTTGGGCTGCACTCACATGAAGTAGGAAGTTCTTGTTGAGTTTGTATTTATTAATAGAAGTTGCATGTCAAAAATGAGAAGAAATTAAATTCTTGCATTAATAAAAAATATTAATAAATATTTATATTCTTGGAAACAAAATGCAGTGAGAGTTGATTTTCTTTCATTTTAAGATTTCTTTTATTATAAATGTTCCGAATCAAAATGCTCGGAGAAAAATTGCACATAAAAAAAAAACTTTTGTATTTTTAAGGGGGCTGAAGTACACTCAACAAAGTATAGATCTTCTAAAAATATAACGCTTGTTGAAAGCTTGTGATGTGTTTATTATGAAAGTAAAACTATTTATACTTTTGAATGATCCATTGCACCTCTTGTAACAGCAATTTTGAAAGTCAGGACTTAATTTTCGAAAGAATTTCGTGTAACTCTTCTCTTCACTAATCCTGAACTCACTCAAGCTCTGAGCAGATGTAGTTCTACTAATACCCAGTGCTGCCATGATTTTATAGCAACACAATCTTTTAATTTTTTAATTTTTTATTGCTTATGGGAACTCTGTATCTGAAAAATCTTTTTTGGCAGCACAGCAAACACTCGGTGATAATACACACGCTCACTTTTTTCCCCCTATCTTGCTTCAGTTGCTCAAACTTAATGCAACAATAGCAATGAATTGTTACACACTTTAAAAAAAAATTTAAAATATCATAATATTTTTGGACTACCAGTTTCCTCTGCTTCTTACATCTAACCTGCATTGTAAACTGTGGCTCTTGTTTAAGTAACTCAATTTCTAATACACCTGGGTGAAATTTTTGTTTCTATGACCATTTTATTTTTGACTGATCTCAACATTTTCTGCCTCTGTTCTTTTCCTCTTTCATTTGTCCATTTTCAACTAAATTTCTTTCACTGTTTATTCTTGGAAAATTTGTAGTCTTGAATGTTTCAAAATTTCATTATTTATTAACGCTATCGTTGAGTGTGAATAACGAACATATCTGATAATGATTTTTCAGGAAGTTGAAACACCTATTTCAAAATGATTTCATTGTCGTCATTACTGAAAGGTATTCATTATTACAGTGTTTGGTTGGTTGTATTTTATTTTAAAATTTGAACATATTCTCAGTATATGACTCCTCGTCTGAAGATGTAGAAAATGTTTCCTATTTTATTTAGGGGCACATCTGTATTACATTTTTCATTCTCACAGATTCTCTTAATTCCAAGACGCTGTTTTGCCTCTTCTGAGAAATGTCAAGTGAAGATGGCATTGCTGGTAACAGTAGTAACCAGTCTGCAATGTTACTATGAAGTTAGGGTTTTATTTCCTCAGTGCATGCACTCAATTGGACTGTCTTGGATGATAAAAAGTAATAGTTCAAAAGTTTTGGAATAAGGTTTTTTGGGTTATAAAATCCATGTTATGCAAATCTTGGTGTCCCAGAGGATTGATTCTTAGTTTCATAAGAAATTAAATTTAACATTGGACAATAACCTTGCAATATGCCATATTCAATATAAAATTCACTCATTATTGAATTACAGGCTAAGTTTACGTAAAGAATTCATTTGTACCATTCCAATGGACTTGACAATGAACGTAAATATTAAATGAAGATACTCATGAGAAATAGTTTCTGGATGCACATGGATGTCAAAATATAACAATTAAAATTATAATTTATTGATGAGCCAAATATACTAGCAAATCATACTTTGAGTTCTGCTGGGTTTATTTGTAAATCAACGACACCATTATTATATTATTAGTGTTAAAAATATGAAGCATTTCCAATATCTACAATAATTAATTTTGTGATCCAGGAATTCTTCAAATTCAAGCGTTAAGTTAAGCAAATTCAAGCTCAATCAGTGTGTATGCCTGTTACCTTTTTTTTTTGTCACACTTTGTGTGACCGGTTTTTACATTCTCACACAATTCTTCCCTTCATGGTTGCATTCATTATGTCATAGGAAGAATGGGTATTAGTGTGTATAAATGTAGTCTGCATTCAATTTTGGGTAAATTCTATATTGTATTTTACTGAAGGTGTACTTTCTATGTTCATAATTGCCTGATGATGGCTTCCAACATAGAACCAATGTAGTATACATAAACATGCACTATCAAAAATTGAAAATGTGTAACCGTTTTAATGTTAGTAAATGGTGTAAATAGGTTTATGGAATAATTTGAGGCTGGTTTCAATTCAATTTCAACACCTGTGAAATTTTGGTTGTTGTTTACAAATTGATGTTAATTTCACACATATGTAAATTACTCTGTCATTATTTAGTGATTATATGACATCAATGATGACACAAACACCAGCTAAATGAGCAAGAATGAAAGATGTGTTATCTAATATAAATTTGTAAAAATAATTTTTAGAAGGATGAATTTGATTGATAGTTAAGGAATGCCCATTTAAATGAATTGAACACTTAATTTAAGTTCTTTATGATACTCTTTCAGAATTCTTTCAAATTCAGACAGTCTACACACTGCTCGTTGTGTATATTTCGCGAATGTTCATTCCCGTCTGAGAGATAGCATAATATTCTGGGGAAATGCATCTTATAGTTTTCAGACTTTTAGATTACAAAAACGAATTGTAAGAATAATAAGTAAATCCCACCCACGTGATTCTTGTAAGCCTCTCTTTATTCATCTAGGCATTTTACCATTACCGTGTCTCTTCATATATGAATCAGTGATTTTTGTCAAAAATGTCTTGCTTATGGGCGGGAATATATTTTCAGCAAACGTCGTCTAACTTCAACACTCGATGTAATCATATTCATCAGGTGACAGTATGAACAGCTCACTACGTTACTTTACATAACATTATTTTACCACACACTGCCAAATGACATTAAACGATGAAATTTGATACAAAAGTTTAAATCCAAAGTAAAATCTTTTCTGCTGCACAACTATTTCTACTCAATTAGAGACAATACTGATCATCCAAAAGAAAAGTAATATTAATTTTAACAATGACATTTAGTGTATTATTTACCATTTGAATTGTATTATACTAAAGAACCTATAACAAGTATTGTACTTCAGCTTCTGGGTCAATGACCCACATCTTGATCAAGTTTTCGTCCAGTTTCCCTGATCCTCGAACAAATGTTGAGATAGCCCCTTGTTTTGCTTCTGGACATAAATGTAACTTCAAATTAACTTCTCTCCATAGCATGTCACAGACAGTTTTTAACGGTTTTTGACATAAATAAATAAAATAGGGATCATACAACAAAGCACGTTAGGGGCATAGTCACTAGTAAGTTTAATACTGTAAATTGAAGTTATCTCACACAAATTTGTACACTGTAAACTATTTTACATAACGCATAAATAAAACAGACGTGAATTTGTTTAAAAAAATACACATACTTTTACACTATTACAGTACTCTTTTTTTTTTTTTTTTTCCTGACCAGTTATGCATCAATGCTGAATCAGTACTTCATTTGTCTGATACAGTTAACATATTTTACATTTTCATCTCACAATAGGGCTATGATTTGCTTCTTGTAAGAACTGACTAAAACATCTGCTAGAGCAATGTGAAGAACAGTACAGAATGAAACTCGAATATTGAATGTTTATGTAATTGGACACCAAGGAAGAGGAACTTATGCTAAGCTGCAATATCATACTCTTAGTTTATCTAAACAAAATTCTCATATAATATTCTATTTGCTTGTAATTTTTATAAGTACCAACACAGTATTTAATTTGTACCTTTTGTTTCACAGTATTTGTCATTTTTTACATGAATAGTAACGTTATTTATAAAATCAACTTGTGTAATTAGGCAGTGATTATCAAACAATCTTACAAATCTATTATTGGTCTATCCTCGTCACTGCCTCAAGTGTTCATAAAAAAACACTGAAGATAATGAATCATTTATATTTGAAGAAAATGTTAATAACTTTATATTAATATTTACATATACATGTTATTTGCTATTGCACCAAACATTTTCTTGCATCTTCAGTAACACAATGGTGAAACCAGATCAAATGCAAAATAGTTTGAGAATCACTGACTTGCTCTCTGAGAATTATATAATTATTTGAAGAATAGAGTTAGGTCAAACAAAACAATTCGAAATATAATGCTTACCCCTATGTAACATGCCCCAAAGAAAACAAACTCTGCAAACTTGTGAATTTGTAGATACCAGCACTGAAAAGTTGAGTGTGTGAAAAGTATGGAACTAAAATTTTGCCATGACAATGAAAATTCATTCATTTATTCAAAGAAACAAAAGTTCAAGCACACTTGCTTCAACTTTTCAACATTTTTTCTACTTTTTGTATTGCTATTGGATGGTAATGAATCAATGTAACACTGTCAGATTTACAAAAAAACGTTATTCAAGATGAAATGATCTTAAGATGTTTTGAGATGTTGCAATATACCGTATTTCATTGTTAAGTGCCATTCTAAAGTAGCAATATCATACTTGTTATATGCAACATGAATTCTCTTGTTAGGCCTACTGATGATCGTTTGTAAAAAAAGTAGTAAAAAATGCAATACATTTTCTATTTACAAAATTCGCTTTCAAAGGGACTGAATCACTATTAACATGGATCTCTGAAAATTCACAATGACCTCTGTCATGCAAATGAAATAGTAACTACTGTTTTACATGATAAACCACACTCTTTCTTTTAACACATAGCTCAAAGTTTAACCATAAAAACAATTTTTTTATAAAAGTAATAAATAAATGCAACAATTCCAAGTGCAAACACCGCACATTGGTTACTCAACAGCATTAATTGTCTTCTAGAATAGGATACAAAACAAAATATTTCTCACTAACAGGTCACAAGTTCTGTCACCACTAGCCACATTAGTTAGCACTACACTCAATTAATAAATAAATTGCTTAACAAATTACCTTCACAATAATTTTATATATTAATAGGATAAAGAATTACTATTGTATTTGACAAATATATAAAATTTAAACATTTCCAACACTGCAACGGGTTAGATTCTTATTCAATGGACTCAAAGTTGCATTACATGTTCATATTTTCTCATCAATACGTGAACTCTCCATATATATATATATAATCTATACCATGACTACACATTAAGAGTTGCCCGTTTACATAATAGAAATCAAGAGATTTAATGCATGTTGCATTCTAAAATCTTTGTTCCTGCTGTAAACACTATGTATTTGAGTTTCCACATGAGCCACAGACTTGAAACACTCAAACTCCTTGGATTGCAGTGTATACCAATATCAAATGTCTTAAAATCTAATAATCCATTTTTTATTCCAAGTACATACGAAAGTACCTTGTTTGTTTGCCATTCTCAACATTTTGAGATTTTTCCCTATACCAAACCAGTAAATTACATAATAAATGGAACAAAACAGAGATGAAGTAAAATAATAAAGCTTAAATCAACATTACTGAGAACGAAAATTATTCTTTTGTGTTACTTCAAACAGCATTGAACTATTATTGATTTTTCTTGACCAAGAACAAAAGTAATCAATGCCTGTGTCTCATTCCTTTACTGCCTGTGTCTATATTTTCCTGTAAAGAGGTGATGAAAAGCTAAAGACAGATTTTTTTGTTGTATTTTTTAAAATGAACATGTCAGTGTTCTGAACAATTAGCACATGGAGGTCAATATTTACTTTCATTTATCAAACAGCAAAGATGAAAATGTATCAGTGAATAAAGAGATAAACCAACTTAAAATTTCATGAAGATAATTGAATGTTACTTTACTTTGCTACAAAAGCTATCAAGACATGATACACAAGTTATCATAAGAGATGATTAGTTATCAGAAAATATTTTGCAATAAATATCTCAAATGTTAATAAATCTTATATCAAGCTGTTACTGACAGCTTGATGAAAACAAAGTGACTGTGACTGGTAGTTTTCTTTTCTCAGTCAGTATCCTAATAATTTTCTTCCAATTTGAATTGGATACAATGTAAACAAAAAGTTGTAAAAGAACTGAGATTATTGATATTATAAATTAAATTTTTCCAAAAAACTTACGGCACTCATTCAGTCATTCTCTGCTTTGTTCTTACTGCTTTATTATAATGCTCTCTATTAACTAAATTTCTTCATAGTCTTTATTTAATTAACAATCATAAATTGTGTCAAAAACATTTTCATTTATTTCTGAAAATTTTTATTATACATTTTGTTACCCTTCAAGACATCGAGTCTAAAAATTGTAATAAAATGTGGTTGCTCACCATTATAAGAGAGCAACAATATATTTTTTTATTCATATGATTTATTTTTTAGTGTATTAACTATCCACAAATCACAAGAAAAAATGACATCCATATGAGAAATCTACGAAGGAAAAAATTAAATGTGGGCATTACAAAATGAACAAGACAGTTTTGTGGGGAAAATAATGTATGAAAGTTGTGGAAAGCCAAATAATTCTCTACGCACCTTCAATGTCTGTGGTCATTCATAACATTTAATAAAAGGAAATAAATGTTCTTAAACATTCTCATAAACTGCATATTCTCAACAATTAATTCATTGTTCTTTCTGAAGTGATATCCAGAATTACACAATACACAATAAATGTACAAATTAAGATTTCCTTAAATATTAACCTTTCTTACAACAAAAATTCTGTACACAAATGAATAAACTCTACTTCAAGAAAAGACCATTTGATTTCTTTTCTGAGATGCAAATGTTTCAGAAAAACATGAACATTGTGGCACCTCAATTGGTTAACATTTGGAAACACCTCTTATTCTTGTCATAAATTAAACATATTAATTACATGTTTACAACAGACTTTCTACCCTATATAGGGGATCTCATGTAGCTAAAAAAAAGGGTCAATATACATTATACTCTTCTATGTACAGTAATGAAATGGACAAATATTCACAATTTTTAAATGGATTGCACTCGTTTTGTCAGCACATCTTACTATTAACTAAACAACACTGAAATGTTTCTATACAGATATTATGAATTTGCTGCCATCTTGCTTATCTTCTGAAGAACAGAACCTCTCTCTGGAAATTATTTCAATAATGCAAATTTATAATTAAGTACATTTTTAAACATAATTATATTTGTATTAAAAGAAACAAAATTGAGAATAAATAATAATGCCTACTATTTCTTTCCAATTCAGCACCGTGATTGAGAGCATGAATTAGGCTAAATGCTTTTCTTTGATCAATTACTTTCCATAACATTTTAGATAAGGAAAATTTTCACAACAAACAGTTGTTTATATCCAACATTAAAGCTATTTGAGACTAATTATTGATTGCAAACTGAAGAAAAGCCAGTAGAAGGGAAAAAAGGTTAAAATAAAGATTTTAAGAATGAATGCTGTTCCCAGAAAGTGAAAGGTTGTACATATGCAGATAGATCCTAGCAATTCATGTCTGTGTGGGTGCAAGAAGTTTACAACTGCACAACTTTGTATAATAAATTGTGAGATGTGTCTTTTACACATAGCAATGAAATATTTAACTGTTTACAATCTTCTAGCCTTTTAAACAAAATAAATTTTACATGTCAAAATTTTTACACATACACTCGCACAGTCACAAATTACAACCATTCACTTCCAGCATTTCCACAGCCATGTATCAAGTGCTTAAGGCTTTTTCTTACCAGCCTTCTCTGCCAATTTTTCTGCTTTGCGCTGCAGGCGCTCTTTTTCCTTGCGCTCCTTTTCCAGCTGCCTGCGTTCCTTCTCTACTTGCACTCGTAGCTCTTTCAATTTTCGCTTCAAACGGTTTTTGTCTTCCCCAACCACCCCAAGCTGCTTCAGATCCCTTGATTCCAGTTGCAACAAAGCAGGGCCTCCTATTTGCTGCTCCAAAAATTTAGGAATGTGTTGCTCCAAACTTAGAGCCAGGAGCCACTGGCAAACCTAGAAATTTTAAAACAATTGTTTAAAATAATTGCAGGTTTTGAATATAAATAAATATACTTCTTTGAATTAAGAGCAATCCAAATTCATATATCATGGTTATTCATGCTAAGCTCAATATTAAACAATGCTTCAAAAGCATAATCTGCCACAAACATTTAGTTTTTGGCCATCTGTGCATGCTGTGTTTTCAAAGAAGAATATTTAATATCTTACTTACTTGCACAACTAGAAATACATAATACAGTGTCAGATTGCTGTAGCAAGTTTGTTTTGATATTTTCTCACCACTGTATCACAAAAATTACTGATACGTGGAGAATGTATTCATACATATTAATAAAAGTAATGCTTTGTTGAGCAAGTTTCCATAAAAGTTAGTAATATATAAAAAAACAATGATTTTAGTGACTTTAGTAAATAAAAAATATCTAAATCGCCTCAACAATGATAATATTTCAGCGACAAGTAAAGTCATACACAAGTTGAAAAGCAAGATGCCTAAGGAAATTTTATTGCATAATGTTGCATAGAAGAGTGTAAAGGCTCACGTGGAGAGCAACAAATCTACAGGGATACTTTTAGAAATATATTATCGATCCTCCCTTTTTCCAGCCTTAGAAAAATAATAAAAACATTTTAGATGGTACTACCACTACAACTTAACAATTTCAAAACTAATATGTTCACACCGAACAATACAGAAATGCAGTTTTCATGGTTTTCAAGTAAAGAAACTTGTATGATAACACAGTTCTTTACTATTAACTCCCCTCTTTCTCCATCAAAACATTAGTCCTCTTTTAGTTAATTTGTCAAGGATGGGATATGAGAATAATGCTACACTACAAATAGGAAAAAGTTTTGTAAGCCCTATCTTGTTCAATTGAAGTAGAGAATTATCACATCATGAAAATCAACACTCTGCAGTGCATACCTTGAGTGCATTTTCCCCACTTGAGTACAAATGTCAGAGAAAAGACCCCTTCTCTTTTTTTACCCACAAAATTCAAAGTATTCATTAAAGAACATTTTGAGATTAAAAAATTAAGAAGCTAAAAAAAGACCACTCTTTAATTGAATTTCAATGATTTGTCTAACAATTTTTATTTTCACTACAAACAAAAAAAATCAGCTGACAAAATCCCACATCTTGCAGCATTCATCTGCAGTTCAAGGGGAAAGGTAGGGTATTATATTCCTCACCAAACAAAACTCTATACCACTCACTATGCATATATAACAGAGCACTTGTACAATAATTGTCAAATTACAAACATGCTAAAAGATTTTTCCATTATTCCTGGAATATCATAATAACAGTCCATAAAATGTGAGAAGTGAAAAATATCATTTTGTAGTGAATCATCAATCCCCATATTGTATTAATTTTTTGTATTCTCTTATGCTGATCGAAGTCTAGACTTACGTTTAAATCTTATCCATTATTTTATTGTAAATTTTAAATGAAATATACTTCTTTAAAGTTTCTAAATAATATGAGTAGTTAAAAAAACACGTTTTTAAGTACTTTGCTCTTAGTCCCTCCTTAAAAATATCATTTTTCAAGATATAAAGATAGTTTAATGAAATTATGAAAAAAAATCATAAAAATGCTTGTAATAACACATTTGAATACTAATTAGTTCTTGGAAATGAAGATAAAAGGGAATTAATGCTCACAAAGTTGAAATACGTTAATGATTAATTAATTGTCATTTTGCATTCACTTACCTGTTCTTTGGACCATTCTGTCACTGGTGCACTTTGCCAAAAATGTGAGGTTCCCTTCTGACCTAAAAAAGCAGTATTTAAATCCTGCTGATGAGATGGAGTCCATATATTCCTAGAATCTAATAGATGTAACATAGCTACAATTCTCTAATGAAAGCTTTTTTAAAATATATGTGTAAACCCCTCTATGAAATTTAGTATTCTGTGCAGTCACTTTATTGGGGACACTTTCCTTTTTCGAGAAATGAAAGTGAACTTGGTTCACTTTGTACACATTATATATATTTTTTGCAAATAATGTTTTTTTCACAGAAATTCTGATTACATAATAAGAGAGCAACAACAAGCAGCACATTTGATGAAAGTGGTTTTTGTCAATTATTAATGTAATATAGAGTACAAAGAATGGTATGATAAAAAAGAAACATTCAGTCAACCACAATATGAAGAAAGAAAATAGCTTATTAGTAATTAGTCACAGGAGGCTGGTCTATCAGAATTATGTAAACAAGCAAATATAATTAAAATACACAAATACTAACAATATAAAGTGGCTGCACCCAAAAAGTGTTTATGTGATCAATATGATGCATTCTAAATAATTATTTTTGTATTAGTGTGTGAAACAATTGTTATTTGCACAATTAAGATTGAGTGTAAGAATTAAAGGCATAAAAATCATTTTGCACACAAAACATAAACAATTGTATAAAATGCTTCATTTATAAACAATTATATATTTCATCTTTACTCTCCATGGTTTTCAAAACAAAGAAAACCCATCTTATGCAAAGATTTTTTAGTATTGTGACATGACTTCATGTCACCTTGCAAAAACATTTTTTTTGCATGGTGATGACATGTTTTTCGAATGCCTGAAGTAAATAATAACGTTATGCACTCACATTTATACAGGCAAAAGGTAATATATCAAAGGTGATATATACCCTTTTGCCAGTATAAATGAAAGTGCATAAAGTTGAGATCAAGATCATTTGACTGAAGCAAATTATGCAATAAGATAGGGAATTGTTTTTATTGTGAATTGAATTTTACAATTTACCCTCTTAATAATGACATGCTCAGTTTCCAACCCTGAGGGTCTTTTGCAATTTACCATTGCATTTCAATACACTACATTTAAGCTACTACAGAGGATTGAAGTTGGTTCCCATCTGTTCCTCTCTTGATTTATATCAGGCTCCTGCAGAGTTAAACGGAAGGGCTTGGCTCCGGCTAGTCCTATGCCACATTTTCAACAAAAGTAAGATAATACTACTTCAGTAAAATCTGTCTAAGCCTGAACTGATCAGGACACAAAATAATTCCGGTTTAAGGTTTCTGATTCATGCAAGGTTGTCCATTTTATGACACTTGTGATATTGATGTTTCTTAAATAATAAATCAATAAAAAAAAAAGGTCGTGTTGATGTGTGCTGTATATATATATATATATATATAATATATATATATATATATATTTATATATATATATATATATATAATATAATTATATATATATATATATATATATATAGTATATAATATATATATATATATATATAATATATAATTATTTATTATTATTATTATTCTGTTCTGAAAGTAGTAATTACATGAATTTATTATAATTATCAAAATACATTAACATATAACATATTTATGGAAAAATCACTATTAAATGAATATTAACCAATCTTCATTCACAACTTCTGAGTTGAAAAATACACACCTCACTGGCTGCATTCAGATAGCTTGCCAACTCTTTCAAAGCACAATTCACCACAACCCGGTACTATGACTTTTTGAATCCCTCACATGGCCTTGTGTAATGCGTATCTGGTGGAGGGGTGATTTTCAACGCAAATACAAGCCATGCCTGTAGACCTTTCCATACTCAGAGAGTTGGGAGAGAGGGAATTCCCCTACAGTCTATGCCTTGAGAGACAAGCGACCCCAAGGTCAAATTCTATGCTGACAGCTGAAGCCTGTCTCCTGCAATGTCCAGCTGCCATGACTGATTCGCGTGTTACAAGGATAGCTAATTTAAAATATGCTTGCAGATGCATTCATTTCTTTAAGAACATCTGGCATCTTTCTGCCAATTACATTAAATTTTCAGGAATTCCGTTTTACAAAGATTTCTTTACCTGCAGGACATGAAAAACCATTCTGTTTCTGCATTCGAGAGGGTTCATTTTATGCTGTGTAAAATGCCATTTATCTTCACAGGCTGGAAAAATTTTCCAGTTACAGCAGGATTTCTGCTTGTACAGGTTTCAGTTTAGACAGATTTTACTGTAATAATATATTCCTCATATCGATTATTACATTTTGTGCGAGTATCGTAGTGCTCACGCAACAAAGTACGCTCTACTATGGAGACTATTTCTTCTTTACTCTTGAGACAAGGAATGTCAGATTGAAATCTTTATCTTATTTCTCAAAAAGAATGTGATGTGGCATAGAACTCTATAGAAAATTGTATTCTAAAAGAGTTTCAATATGCCACAAACCTGCACCCAGCTTACTGGGACTAGGGTCAGCGGTTCCCACAGCCGGAGAAACACTTCCAGATGATGACAGTGAAGATGGAGAAGGTGGTTCTGCATTTTGTTGCTGCCATACATTTCCACCATGAGGAGGTGTAAGGGTCTGACTAATTGGAGCTTTTTTCACTGGAATCAGAAGGAAATTCTTAACAGTTTCATTTTCCAACATGAAATATTGTATTAAGTCTATTGAATGAAAATTTTCAACACATCTGAGTATTAATGATACCAAATATTCATTAGAATATATAGCGTGCCAATTTATATACAAATAAATCATCCTTCTGCATTTCTGACATCTGGCATAGTACTTATCTTCCTGTATTTGCATTCTACTAATTATACTTCATGTAATAAATAAGTTATGATTATTAACAAATTATCAATTATCACATTATCTTCAGGCAATGTTAATTCTGTTCTTTTTTTCTTTTAATTTGTTGTTTCTGTATTGATGCATAGCATCTCCAAACCCCTAGGAGGGCATTGAGCGTTATTATCACTTGTTTTTAATGTATACATTGTAAGGCAGAATAGTGAAATTGTTGCATCTTGATAATTATGTAACTTATTTAATGATTTCACAACATTTCTTGAGTATGGAGAATCATTCAGTACTTTTACAAAAGAAATTAGCAATAAACCTGAAGATTAAAAGAGTTTATTTATCAGCATTAAGTGCTTGTTTTTCATGAAGCATTTAGCTAGCTTATTACCGAAACTGGAAACATCAGAATATTATTTACTGCTCTTAGCCCTTCTGTCACTCACTATTGCTTTTGTTTTTTAACATTGCCTTGGAAACATTTATGAAATTCTAGTGACAATGATTGGTAGAAGTATTCAGTAACCATTGTCAGGAATTCAATCTCTGAGTTTGCTTGGGATTTTAATGCTATTTCCTATGTTACTGTGGCAATTTTTAAAAAGGTGTTACATTGAAAATTTTTCTTCAGCATTTTTCTTAGATAATATCAGTTATAATATTAAGAAACTAGAACCAATAAAAATAACAGAATATCAATACCTTTTGCATTAGCCTCATTCACAGCCTGACGAATTTCCTCTGCAAGACTTTGCGTCATAGCCTTATTAGTGTCATTGAAAGAGCCAGATGTCTCACGAGACGCATCTCCACCTGAGATCCTTCGTTCCCTCTCTGCCAGCACTTGTTTCAGCTGCTCTGCGAGCGATGCAGGTGGAGCTGCCAGACCCAGAGGAGGGCCGATAGCAAATGTAGGGGCTTGAGCTTTCCTCTGAGGGCATGTTGCCCATGGGTCAGGACTAGGTTGGAGTTGGGCGTTTGCCCCTACGGGGCTCACCGCCATTGGAGGTGTGATGTGATGGGGATGAACGTGGCTGGGTTGCGGAGCAGGGGTGTACAAGGTACTAATGTTGTTGGTAGGGTGTGTTGAAGGGGATGGGGTGGAAGACATGAAATGAGAGTGGGATTTGGCAATGAGACCTGTGTGGTGAGTGACTGGGTGGGCTGAAGACGATTGCTGTCGCTGCTTCTGCTGCAACTATCAGAAAGAAAAATAAATAAATAAATAAATAAAAACCCAAAACATACACTGAGTGAATTTAAACACCAAGAAGAAACATGCAACACATTACCCCAAAGAAAAACTGAGTGATGAAATAACAATTTGCAGCCATCTTGTAATATGGAATGTTTTTATAATAATATTCTCACCTTCCTTCAGGGTAATTAAATTATTTTTATACTATTTTAATGCTATTTAAAATTTTTAGTGACATTTTTATCAAAATCTAAGACATTTATATAGTTGACCAGTTCTATGTATTTTCAGAAATACAATAAAAAATAACATTCTTCACGGCTCAATGTATTTACATTGATGTTGTGAGATGGAGTTGCAGACTGTTTTCTATTAAATTGTAATAAGTTTTACGATCTATAAATGAGATTTTGAAGCCACACACCTGTTGAGCAGAGGAAAATTGAGACACAAGGCTGTGAACATGTGATGATGTTACGGTAGTGGCAGATGATGACATTGTGGTAAGTGTTGAAGATGTAACAACATTACATGTTGAAATTGGAGAAGTAGAATTGGCAGGAAGAGATGAAGACTGCTGGTGGTATTCTTGTGACTTAACAATGCTTGTGTTAATTTCATTTCTATTTTCATCGCCTTTAATATATTCCATATTTTTGGGTTTTTCATTAGTGTTATTTTCCTCTTCATCTGAATTATCACAGCTTTCATCTAACCCGTATTCCTGCAAAATTTATAGAATGAAGAATCAATACTTCAATAAAAAACAGTTTTTTTAATTTTAATAAATAAATGAAATTTCAAATAGGATATAGGATCTTGCATTTTCTTACAATTGAGAGAACTGTAACAAATTTTATGGTCATCATTCTTTGAATACAGCAAGATCTGTTGACATCAAGCATCGACAAATACAGGCAAGTTTTCTGAAGAGAGTAAATTTACTTACCATGCATTTATTGATGAAAAATTAAACTTTCCTAAATATTTTGAATTATTTATGCATAAAAAAAGAAAAGAGGTAGTAGAAATAATAATTCCCTGAATTGTGGTGGGCTTGCTGTACTCTTCATCAAATGTCAGAAATTTGGGATTTGGAAACCACATCCATGCAATTAACACCGAACAAACGTTTTCAAGGGATTGTTTAAAGCTCACTCATTACTTTTTCCCAAAATTTTGTTGAAACAATTTTTGTTGTCTGATTTTCTAGCATAATATTATATCCATTAAATGTTTTTTAAATGAATTTAAGATAATCTTTTATATTTAGGCTTTATCACCATCGTACTCATCTCATTCATGGTACATAGTTAAGATGCAGAAGATTGATCACTGCTATATAACATTGCAATTAAAACATTTCTGAAAGGGTATTAATCTGGTGTGCATTCCAATGTAGAAAGGATCAAATACCAAAGCACTTACATTAGTCTATAGAAGTTCAAACTGACTAAAAAAATTAGTGTCCTTGGGGAAATACAGTATCATGAAAATTCTGATATTTCTAAACCCTCACTGAAGCATAAAAAATCATAATTCCATAGAAATAACTAAATTTGATACCGCATTGGTTGTCAAATCTACTAAAATAACAGTTTATGGAAATTTACTACCTGAATGTTTTGGGGAAAAGAGGATCTCGTCTTGCCTAATTTTCAGCATTATTACGTAGAGATGTAAGGTCCACAGGTAGATGGGTAATGTAATAGGCAATCCAGATTCTAATTTTTAGGAAATTAATAATGAAGACATTTGCAGAGTTGGTTAAAGCTAGTAATCCAGGTTTTTTAGTACTGTATTTTTCATTATTGTCTTACTTAATTATCGCATTTTCAAAATTTCATACACTCTGTGTGATAGTTATTTAACTTTTCTTTTGTAATCAGAGTTTCAAAATGTTAGTGAAAAAATATTCCAGGTCTGACTTTTTTATATTAAATTGCCTCTCCTACATCCACATTATTGAAGCAAAATATTATTTTCTTAATACAACTCATTCTTCAATCTTAGACATTTAAATCATTTTTTGCACCTAGTTTTCAAAATACTATGTTAATAGTTGTACTGTGTTAATCTTGTAACTTTGGATCAAAATGTGACAATTTTCCCAAAATACTTAAACAAGAATTTTTAAAAAATGGTTCAAAATATTTATTCTTTTTAAGTTTTTATAATTACAGCATTACACACTATATCACTTGATATTATTAATTAATTAATTAAAATATTATTTATTAAATAATTCAAAATATTTAAGGATGTTTACTTTTTCTTCAATAAATGCATGGTATGTAAATTTATGTGGCTACATTTGTTTATACTTGATGTCAACAGATCTTGTAGTATAAATTAAATTTTTGATTTTTCTAAAATTACACATGTATAATGTTTCTAGAGTATCTTGGGTGTTGTTAATATTTACATTAAGGGTTTTTTTAATCATTTAATGCAATTAAAAAAAATTGTCAAATAATCTCTTCCAAAATTTATTGAAATCTCAATAGTTTGCAAATAGGAGGAAAGTAAATCAATTGCGTCAATTCAGAAGACCTTTAAACTTTACTTTCTCCAACAGTTTAGTTAGATTTGTTAATTTTGAAAAGTTATTTTGTTAATGAATGCGAAAATTAAAATTTTTAAAGCTAAAGAAATCTTTGAGCACAAATGGTGTTGCATGTCATTTAAATTATTATATTCAGTATTGTTAAGCATATTGTTGGCCATATATGCAACAAAAGCATAAATATTACTTTTAAAGTCTGTTTTAGAAAAAGAGATTTGCACATTATAGCTGACATATTAGAAAAATATAATTTGCAATATTATATGTTTATAGAATATATACTACCCAATTGGAGCATATATTTGGTGAAATAATAAAAATAGATATTATTATCATCATCATTATCGTCAATTTGCATAACCATCGTCTTGGCTGTGATGGAGCACCACTATGTTCATAATTTTTTGTTTTTTGGTCTAGCATCTTGTACCCATCTTGTCCAGAAATTCATTCTAGTAAAATTGCACAACTCACTGAGCTGCTGTTGCTAAGGCCACCACTTTTCTTTCCAGATGGCAATTGCCTGCCAGCAAGGCCCCCTCTTGTGGCTAACTCTGCCTTCGCTTTTGAAGCAGATACATCCAACAATTCATGAGGGGGAACAGCACGGTCCAATTCCTCCTTCACGGGCATCTGAACAACAAAGATGTTATCAAAATAACTTAGCGACGTGTCTGGTTTTTGCATAATTTTACACATTTTACTTGCTTAATTTGATGATATTCTTGAGTTCTACCCTTTTCTACATTTCATGTAATATTCAATTCCCTTATCATCTCTTTCCTACTTATTTTTCACTTCAGCTGCTTAAGTCTTTGTTCACCTGTTAAATGGGTGGTGTAAAAAGTGGAAGGAGAAATGTTTGAAAAAATTGAAGGTTAATAATGTTACTTCTGACAGTTAAATATTTTAAAATATTGGTTTCAAACATTTTGACATATTGAAAGACCCAAAATAAAGTGAGAGAAGTACAACATTTAAAGAGTTCTAGTCTGCTTTGTGACTTTTGACAACAAGTGTAACTGTCTAAATCTAATAATTCGCAAAAATGACTAGGAATCGCAATATCACAAACATTTTATGGATACATACAACTTGCATCTCTAGTGATTTCAGAATTTACAGTTTACAATCATTAAATTAGCTTACGCACAATACTAACCAAAAGTGGAATGGTGCATTTTCAAAGAACCTCTACATTTGGTAATTCATACTTCTACATGTAATTGAAAAACAATTGCCTCTACGTTATTACCCAAAGTTAATAAGTCCAAATTGCCAGATGACCTTTTAAATTAACGACATTTTTGAACATAGTTTAAATAATTTATAAAATTTATCAATCACCACTTTTTGATTTTTATATTTCAATATGTTACCTTTACTTCAATCACCTACATAACTTTAAAGTGTATTTAAATGTGTTGGCAACTTGAAGAAAACCGGTTTAGTAAATAGAATACAAATTGAAAGAATAAAACAGAAAATTAAGTTCATTAAATTGCAATTATGATTCTATGAACATGTCATAATGAGAGAAAGCCCATCATGAAATTTAATTTTATGAACATAACAAAAAAAGTAATACATTCAGTAGGTAATGACCTTTGGTCATTAGTAGGCGTATGACTTTTAGTAGGTAATAACTAATTTACATGCCCACATCTTTCAAATTTTATTTTATCCTAATACTTTGCTCGCACATTACCTAATAAATAACAACTTTCATGATTATTACCTACTAAATAATCATTGGATCACTCAAGAAAACCATGCAAAAATTGCCAAAAAATTCAATTCCTACTCGTTCTCATATAATGAACTGAGATGCAAACAAAACACCTTCAAAACTGATAACTAACAAAGATACAAAACTCGCAATAAAGGAATGTGAATGTGTAAAGTGTGGTATAGGATGTAGAAAACATATTCTTTGAAGGAGACCTGCTTCCATTGAAAAAATAAAGGATTCATCCTTCTAATCTTTGATTCACTAATGTGAATTTGTTCACTTTTGGTGCTATTCTAGTTATTAATTCTCCATAAAAAATTTAATCTGAGCAGAATTGGATTGCATTGTAATTGGTATAATAAGTATGCAATCAACAGCGAATTGTAAATATTAGAAGATTCATGGTTACACAAAGAGGATAGGAGAAGGAAACTACATTGTTCATTCAACTTGCTTAATATTATATTTGAAATCTCTTACTCCAGAACAAAGTTAATTTCACAATCTAAATCATGAACTTAAAGTAAGAATTAAACAACTGAATGTCAAAAGTGCTTCTCACAATTGAAAAAAGAAACATTACAGTTATCATTTTCAAATTTAATTTAAGGTGATAATTTTGGAATACCAATTTTTATATAAAATTAAGGGCATTAAATGTCATTAATTCAATAATTAACACAATATAAGAAATAAAATTAGAGAGAGAAAATAAGATATAATTATAACAGAAATAATTAAAGCAGTAAGATATGAGAAGTGAGTTGAGCATTAAGGACAACATTACCAATAAAATTAATATCATTAACTAGTATGAATTAGCATTATTTAATTTAATATATTTATCAACCTTCAAAAATCATATTTTTACATGTAATGTTTAAAAAAATTGAATTTTGGGGAGTAAGGTCATCAATTTCAAATTTATTATCAAACAATGAACATGGGACAGTATTGAAGTTCATTTCCTTTTTAAAGTAAAAAATAAAAAAGGATATATATTTATTATTGAGAGTTATTTTATTTATTATATTAGTATTGAACAACAGTAAAAACTGACAACATTTTATAAAATTTTCACTAGTAAATATAAAAACATCAAGAATAATAGAAATATTTAAGTAAAAGCACAAACAATTGTTAATAATTTAAGTCGGAAGTACCTTGCGTTCAACAGTTGCAGTTTTGTCTCCATCTTCAGGACTGATGTCTGATATTTCAGTATCAGATAATTCTGCTTCTAACTGCTGCAATAAAGGCTTTACTGGGGGAGCCTGAAAAACAATACAACACCAATTTGAAAAGTGAACATACATTTTTAATCACTCACAAAGAAAGTTTTATATTGGTTATATATATTAAAAAAAAAAAGAAGAAGAAAAAGAAAACTATGGTTTTAATAATAACACAGCTGTAGTTCCCTCCAAAAATCACTGGAAATTTTCCACATGCACAACTTAATTATATCCACTGGAGTAAAAAAGTATTGCAACATCCCAGTTGCATTGTACAATTTATTCCTCCGTACAGACACAGCACATACAGACAGAACACTAAATATGATTACATGGGCACAGCCATGTGAGACTTGCATGGTCAGCAACAGAGAGAACCATAGACCAGAAATACCACATCAATACTGTGTGTGCCGGGTCAGTACGACAAGCCCTGATGTGGGATGGCATCACATCATCTGTTCCACGCCTCCTGCACAGCCTCACACAGAGCAGGCAGAGTTGATGGGGAGTCGCAGCATGGGTCAGGCGTTGGACCACCATGTCCCACACATGCTCAATGGGGACAAATCTGGCGAGCGTGCCTCCTTCACCTTGTCACAACGGACAGCGCCTTTTAAAGCTGGGGAGTAGATGGCGCGTCTGGGCCATTTTGTCATGCTGCCGTTACATCACTGGGCATCAGTCATCCGTGAAATGTTAATCACAGCTTTTACGACCCCCCATCCCTAACATTCCTTATCGCCTGTTTTGATTGCTCTTCCCCCGTCTGGAGTTGCAATCCTTTTTTCTGCCAGTGTACTTGAAGTACTTCAAAAATACTAGCAAGAGGAAGTACCTATATCTGGCAGTGTGGCCAGTTAATAATTCATTCATATTTCTTTTTTGGTAATAAAACACTTGTGTCTGAGTCTCACTATTTGATTTGTCCCTTTTTTGCGCATGTTGAACTGTTATATTCAAAGGTTGTGCATTCTTACAAATATGTTTCTTAGTAATGTATTGCACCAAATACTGTAATGTTTTTTTGGATGCAAAGTTGTTATTAATACTGATAATTACTGCTAATAATTAATATATTATTTTGTACTATAGTGTCATACTTTTTATGAGAACTTCAGGTGTTACCTGTATTCTTTGGATTATTACTTCAATTATTAGCATAACTTTCAGTCCATTTCTAATTTTATTACATTATTTTAAAGAATACAAACCTGCTGTCTTCGGAGAGGTTGAGGTGTTAGTTGCTTCAGGCTTGTGTTATCATAAGGTAAAACAGGAGGGAGGCCAGCTCTCTGTTGTGTTTCCAACAGCTCTTGTTCCAACTGTATCACCTGTCAAAGAAAACCACTTGGTAAATTTTGACTCACAGATATTGAAGTAATTATAACTTATCTGTTGAATAACCTATTACCAAAGAATTGTTTATCAATATTTTGTAAAGCATGTCGGTTGAGTCAACTTACTCTATCTTTCAAACTTTTGACTAGAGCGTTGTATTCAGTGTCTTTCTCCTGAAGGAGCTGCAAATAAAATTCTTCTCGATGGATGAGATCCTGTTCCCTTTGTTGAAACTCACGAAGAAGCTTCTTTGCTTTGCAATACTTCTTCTCCAAAGCCGCATACTGGGCCTAAAACAACAATGCTGAGTAAGACAAGCATGGCAATATGATATCGCAGTTGAGACCCAATCTACACGTTTCCTTTACATGAATGATTTTGAAGATTTAATGAACAGGTGCACGTGCAGAGAGACTTCTGAGCCAGCAGCGTCACTTTATCTAGGTGTACGCTCGCTAAAACTTTGAGATCATTTGTCTGTAGGAAGCGTGTAACTTGGATCTCAAGTAAGAAATAAGTTACCTGTGACTGTTCCAACATGTCTTGATAATTAGCTACATCTTTCTTTGCTGCAATGAGATTTGTCTCTGTTTCTTTGAGTCTAGCAGTGGAGAGACGAAGTCGTTCCAAATATTCTTCATTGTCGGCACCATTCTGTTCGAGCTCAACAAGCTGAAATACAGTAATAATAGTGAATATCACACATTGAAATTATTTCAATTTAATGTTACTTCAGTTCTGAATGTTAAGTAAACATAACATGAAAGACCAGCTTTAAAATTTTGACGCCATTTTTTGCAATGGCGAATGATGCTCAATATAAAAGTCATAAAAGGATTAATTATAAATAAAAACATGATTAGTACAGAAATAAATACACTTAAATTCCATTCTAACTTTAGGAAGAACTTACCAACGACTTCAATCTGGCAACATCATTATCAGCAATTGCTAATTTTAATTGGCTCTGCAAGCAATATCAAATCAAATAAAAATAATTCATGCATAATTAAAGTACATTATCAAATTTTGAGTTTAGATGCTTTTAAAAATATGTGGTACACATGCAATTAGAGAACAACAACATGTATACGACTCTGAACTCAAAACCAAATCAAACCACACCAAACCAAACAAAAACAACAAAAAAACAACATGCTAACATTATATTTGCTTCAAATTGAACGTTCCATTTTAATAATAATTTCTCATAATAATTTTTATACTAATATTCTCTTCAAATAAATGTTAAAAAATTATATTACTCATTTTGTTGCAAAGTGAAATTTTTTGTCTTATATTTCATTAACAAACGTTTATTCTTCTATGTAGCAAACAATTTACATTCTAACAATAAGATAAATAAATGAAAGGAGAGACATACAAAGGAGAAAAAGGAGTAGGATACAAAAAACAGGAGAACAAGACAAGAAAAAAGGGTAGGAAGGAAAGAATGAAGAAGATGATAAAGGAGAGGGGAGGGGGCGGAGAGTTGGCAGAACAGATGACAAATGAAGAGGACGATAAAGAATGATAAAGCAATGAGGTGATTATAAAGAATAAGTAGAAAGAAAAGGATAAGAAAGGATTTTTTACTTATGGAAAGGATAATTTTCTGCAGTCAAGAAGAAGAAACAAAAGAAAATGAAGGAGGAGAAAGCATTGAATGAGAGGCATTTTCTTTTTCTTACTTCCTGTAATAAGAGTCGCAGGGCATCCACATCATTGGTGGCTGACGGGGACCTGGGAGCTTCGAGGTCAAAGACGCTGTCTGCTGCTCCTCCTGGGCTGACAGGGGGACCCTCTGCTGTGAGGGAGACTGTTGGGGAGGTTATGCTGCTGTCTTCCGAGCAGGAACTCTCAGCTGCACCACTGCGTACTCGTTGCTCCATCTGTCGACGCTGTTCCTCTCGCTCTCTATCCGCCTGAAAGCACGCATGCATTCAGAAAAACTCCATCCTTTTCAGTGATAGAGAAGGGTACAAAAGCAGATTTTTTAGGCAAAGGGAGAACAAAAAAGAAAACAAGGAGGATGAAATTTAAAAAAGGGAAAGTAAATAAAGATTCTAATGATATTTAAAAATCACCAAATAGATGTTGATATTATTGTTTTTGTTGATTAAATGATAATGTAAAGATTATGAATAGGTACTATTTTAGAAAATTTTACAACAAAAATATTTTAAAACAAATGAATAAACGATAAAGCAATAAAGGATAGTCAATAAAAGAAAAGATTGGAGGAAAGTCTAAAAGAAAAGAAAAAGTTCACTGCCAAATACTTAATTTTCTGCAATTCCCATGCTACAGTGTACATACAATGAAACACTTTTCGTTCACATCATGCACAATTAATGTCCTATTCATTAACATTTCAACAACCAATTCTGAAGAGATAAAACTTTATTTTATTTCAAAACGAGATTAAACTAACATACTGGCAATACTTCCATTCATTTCATCACAACACTGGTACAGTGATGTCACATAACTTCCAATAATATTAATCATGAGTAAACACAATTCCTTTGGACTGAAATGAGTTCTCACCTGCAGCGATTGTTTTATTAACTGAGCAACTTCACTGTTTTGTGGATCTTTCTCTCGACCTATTAGGAATTTCACAAGGCCACAAGTATTTCGTAAGACAGAGGCAGCATATGCCTGTGTAACTCCAACCAGGGATCGGCCATCAACTTCTATAATCTGGTCGTTCACCTAATAATTAGAAGAAATATTTATTTTGTACAATTCTGTTAATAAAATTGAAGAACTTAAAATAATATTTTAAATAATAAAAACATGGCAACAAAAATGTTTTTTATGGTATGACAGAAAGAGAAGAATGAAATTTCACTGTAGAACAAGAATAAAAATAAAAAAAATTAGTACAGATTTTGCAGATGTAAGTGGCTGAATTAGCATGATTCAATGCCTCTGTCCAAAGGGTTTGTCTTCTAAGAGAAGCAAGGATCTGTTATCTACTAACTGCCTACTAAAACTATGTAGAAAAAATTTCCCATTGTATCAACTTATTATTTTAATTATTGACAATGGAATGTTTCAATAAAACAAGATTAATAATAAATGCTAATGAAGCACTAACATTATAGTCTTAACTAAAAATAATGATTTTATACATATATACTACTATTGCAACTGTGATATTGTTAAAAAAATCTCTTATTAATAATTTTGTAACATAAACATGTTTTTAGCTTAGAATATTTTTTACAAAGACCTTTCATGGGTATCAGTGTCAAGGGAATAACTGAAGGGACACTATTGAGCATACAGGAAAATGGGAATCAGCTGACGAAATAGGCGATAGTTTTCAACAACACTAACAAGAAATATTACAAACCTGTATCCTGCCATCTCTTGCCGCAGCTCCATTTTCTGTAATAGTTTTAACAAATATGCCCAGCTTTTCCAAACCAGCATCAGCACCAACTCCCATACCAATTATACTCAACCCAAGTCCTTCAGGACCTTTAGTAAGTTCAACAGGAAAAACATCCATTTTTTCAACCCTCTTTTCCAGCTCATACTCAGCTGAGGCAGCTACAGGATCCACATCTTCATTCCGACGATCATAATCGTTCACAGAGAATGTGCTGTACACCTTCAGGAATGAAGACAATTCTATCTCACATCTCAATAATAATTTTATAATGTCTACTTATCACCCTGATTTCTTTAGGTTAAGAGAATCTTTGAGAAGCAAGGGACAAAACTCAATTCTTTGAATCAATTATATTAAATACAGAAGAGAAAAATTGAATAATTTTGAAAAGAGGATTTATTTTATTTTTACAACTTTTTCAATGGCATCAATCAATTACTCTCTCATTATTAGTTTTATACAATAATATAATACAATATTTTTTTACTGATATGGATAAAATAAGCAATCAAATACAGTATACAAATTATAAATACATTTCACTCACTTTGATCGGACCAGTGCTAAATGAAACTTTAGTGTTCTTTTTTACAGGAATAGGATAATCACTGTCATCATCATCTGATTCAGGCAGACCAGGAACTTCCATCCAAAAATGACCATCCTCAAAGTAGTGTACACCATTCTCTACCACAACCTGAAATATCGGAGTATTAGAAAATATTATTAAAAATCTTTAAATCAACTTGATATTGCCAGTAAGCCTTTTCTGTCAGAATCAATTCAGTTTATTCTTTGACGTACTGAAAGCATAACTTACAACTTTTCCAGGAACAGGTACAAAATCTTCCAGTCTTGTCGTTGAATCTATGTGGTCTTGTTCATCAAGACTATTTGTAGATCCAAGAAGCCCAGATTCTGAACCTGACTTTGATTCAATTTGACTCGATGACAAAGAATCTTCATTAGTTTCACTAGTTTCACTTTTCACCCTAAATTAATAATACAAATTTATGGAAAAGTGAAAATGATCTTTTTAAAGAAGACATTAGAGATAATCCACAAAATGATTGTTGAGGGAAGGAAGGGTCCGTTTTTTATTAGCAATAATTATATGTATTGTTTGGTTTACCTGAGTTACAGTAAAGAGGTAATTTTTCCAAACTCAGCAATCATTACAATTATTGGTTATTACTCAAAATTTAAATATACAGAAAAAATTAATTTAATACACTGAAAATATGAAATAACATTTTTGATATTTGTGTGGTGTCCGTTTTGCACATGAAAAATATTCCCTCTTTTAAAGTGTCCTGATTTGTTACAATATACAAAAAGGTCATTTAGGTCTACGTGCTTTTTTGTAAAGGTATTTTGTTAAGATGTTACAAAGCATAATAAGCATTAGTTAAGCTCAGTAGAAACTTTTACCATGAGTTGCAATAAAAAATATACCTGTATTCAGGTGACTCGTCATGAGAAGCTGTGCCCCCAGTCACTGATGTTACTTCACTAAACCATTGTGGTTCATTGCGTGCTTTCTCTTCAGTTGGAGACAAAAGTTGAGTTATCTCCTGTGCTTCTTCATCTGACAGCAGCCCTTCTTGGCTGTGACCATTTTTACATAGTATCATATTATCAAAGGTGCAAATGTTTCAGAAAACTTATGACTGAACAAGATATTCTCAAAAGATTTTCAAATTTTACAAAATGCAACTGAAGTTATGACCAATAAACAAAACAAAAAACTAGTAGTACTAAAAGAATATAAAATTTCCTAAGGATACAAAAAGGATTTCTATGCATCAATGCACCTTAAACCAACAACACCCATGACTACCACTGTCAACCCTCTCAAACTTTGCAGAGAGATTAAGCACTACGCTCAATATCATTCAATGAAAACTGCAAATAATTTGTGCATGCATTGCAAACTTCATGTCATTTTAATAACCTAAAATCCCATTGCATCATCATATAAATCAGGGTTTCTCAATTTAGGGACACTGATCTCTCCTGGGGTAACAAAAATACTCCTACAAAGTAATTCTGACACAAAAATTATAAAAAGCTGAATATACTAATCGTATATTCAATTGTAATATTCTCTAAGTAGTACTTGCTCTTCATAATATTTCAATAAAATATAAACTAACTGAAAAATAGTCAGATTTTGGAATATTTTAGTTGTATTATTTTATTACTCAAACAACGTTTACACATTATTCAAAAATGTTTTCAGCAAATGTGTTTGCACAGAAACGTTTCATACAAAATTTATCTGAGAAAGTTCATATTTTAACCAGTAAAGTAAACACTTTATATTCGAACCAATTACTTTGAGAAAAAAAACACCAGTTGAGTGAAAAGTAGGGAAAAATATTGTTCAAAACAATCACAGACGAAACAAAATTGAGAAGCCCTGAACTGAAGATGTGCGAGGTGCCGAGGACAATTTCCTCTCTAATCATTCATATCTACTCACCGTAACTTCTTTTCCAGAATGCTGCAGGTGAGAAGTGTGCAGGAAAGGCAGCAGATAACAAAAGCTCATTAATTAGTCAGCAAGCAGTAAATATTAAATTTGTATCACACAATATTTTATTTTTCTCTAAAAGTACCCTTTCCACAAAAAAGATACACAAATTTAATTCCATATATTATTTGCTAGTGAAGAAAGAGGATAAGCAGAGATTTCTCTGAACAGAACGAATGATTAAGACTCGTTCAAAACATGTGTTTTTAAGAATTGCTTCCATAAAGTCACCACTGTTTAATATTTAGTAGTTGATGCAACTCACAAGAAAGTAGGAATTTTTGTAAAATTTATTTTTTGATGGAATGATGTGATATTTTTTTTTTAGCTTTGAAGCTTTACAAAAATGAAGTACAGTTTATTAATATGAGTAATATAACAAACAAACAAAATTCTAGTACCTTATAACTGATTATTGGGAAATATTGAACAGTCAATGTATTTTTAAATAGACCTAACATTGAAAGATAATTTACAGAAGAGTACTAGTATCGTCTAAAAATTAAAACACACAGCAAAATTGTAGGAAAAAGTTCACCTTTAAATTCAAAATGGATAACTAAACAAATAATAAAAACATGTTACTTCATTTTTATAAAATATATTGATTCTGAAGGTGTTGCATCAATAATTATTCATGTCAAAAAATATGAGAAATGTGACAACCCAATCTATTTTAATGTGGTATTTGAACATATTAATCAAGTATTTGAACTTTAAATGAATATGGTCACCTAAATAATGAAGAAACATTTAACTTTTATTCGTTTGTAAGTTGTCCTGAACAAGTCTCAAAACATTTTATCCTAATAAATGAGGGCATAAGAGCATATCTATCAGTAAGTTTCCAAACAAAACCATAAGAAAGCAAATGAATTTTGCTCTTGCTCTTTACACAAATATGTTTCATGAAACTATAAATGCAAGGTTCTTGGGTGTTCTGTTCTAACATATCGTGGATATTTTGGAAGGAGTGCAAACTAAGTGACCGAGCAGTGCTAAACATTTGGCATCCACCTCTTTTACATGAAGCATCAAATGCAGATTTAAATGCAACTAGAATGGAAAGCTAGGCAACGCCATTAGGATATATTTTCCTTTTTAGTAGTTAAAGAAGAATTCTACAAGACCAAATGCCTTTTTGTTTATTTCCCCCAAACGAAAGCAGGTTTTTGAACCACTCCCCATGCGGAACAATATTGTGTGATACAAGGCTGCATATTAATAATACATGTTTTCCAATTAAAGTACTTTAAATGCTAGCATTTTTTAATTTTTAATCATGCACATTATCCAAATTTACTTCATGCCATAGCTAAAAAGCAATAATCCATGCTTTAGTCCTTTGTTGATGAAGTGCAAAAAAGCTTTACACCACATATCAATAAACATTGCTTTCAACGTTTTATTAATATTTTAAGATATTAAAATAAGTTAGATCAACTCAAACATAAATATTGTCTTTTCTTGACGTACTAATGTTTATAAAACAGATAACTGAAAATGATTGATCAATTACTGCATTCAAATTTATTTTATGATCAATGACACCACTGCCAACTCAAAACTTTCCAACAAAAAAAGGATATGAAAAAAAAAAGTTGACAAAACAAATACAAAATAATGCCAAGATTACTTCACGTACAGAAGTTCAACTACTCTGACAGGCCCATTCGAAAGGGGCCCAAGAACTCCAGAATATAGGGTTTTGACATTTCAAAAATGTACATACATTGACATTTTGTATCATACTTCTTTTAAACTGGGAAATCAAATAAATGTAATGAACTAATTTTTCTTTAAATGAATGAAATCTTTTTCAACTATAAAACATCAATCTAAAAAATATTGGTAATCTAATAATTACTTTTGCAAAAAAATTAAAGGCTGAATTTCCTTCATTTTCTTTCCTTTCTTTCTTTATTATTTTTTGCAAAAAAATGACGCTTGCCTGTGAACATCAAAAATGAGGGGATCTTACCTAGTGCTAAGAAGATTCTCTGCCTCATCTGGTGTCATAGTGTCTGGAGCACTATGAAGAGTATTCACTAAATAATCTGCAGTTTTGCTGATGGTTCTAATTGCATTCACTTTCTTTTCAGAGTCAGTAGTTTGACAATCAGAACTTTCAGGAATAGTCTGCAAAAGTTAATAATTTCTATACATTTTGTTATCACAATTCACTACCAAAAGCCTCAAAGAAGAGGAAAAAAAAGATAAAAAAAATTTTAAAAATTCTTCACAGTCATTTGAGTAATAACTCATAACTAATTAGCCAAAAACAATATCAGAAGATAGCTAACTTTTGGGGGTGAGGCTTGTATCTTACTCTGGGGCCCATGAACTTCCATGGTAATTAATGAGTCCCTAAGCATTCCCAAATGTTTATAATAATTTGAACATTTATTTCATTTGTTTCATTTTTATTGTACCTTATCTTTTTCAATTTTGCAAGTTAATATAATTTCAAAATTAAAAATCATGCACAGGACCCAATGTTTATTATGTCATGATAAAATCTCAAATTCAGAAAAGGGAACTATCATGCTCCTATGTATTAGTAAACATGGACAATTCTGTTATAATAGAATTTCTCTTATACAGTTAAATGGGAAAGAAACAAATTTAGATGGCAATTAATATGCTGTCAAAACGTATCTAGTAAACTACTCAGAACTTTCTATGTTTGGGGAAAAAGTCAAGAAAATCTGGCATGTGTGTTTTCATTTTCTAAAATCAAACTTAATTGTGTAACACTAAATGAAACTTATTGCCAATTGTTCTGTAGTGTACAACTTAAAAATAAAGGTAATTTTCATTTTGAAAAATACAAATTCCCTGAATAGTGAATGTACTTTACAATTTGAAACAATGTAATATTATTTTTCCTATTATGAATTGTATTTTCAAGATTTCTACGACTGTCAACACAGAGCACAACACACAGATCCAAAACAGTCAGTTTATATGCCAAGGCAGAGCACACAAAATGCAAATACACACACCTGTGGCAAGAGTGGTTTGCTTTCACAAGATTCTTCATGTTCATCACTGTCTTCAGCATCAGCATCTGCGTATTCCACATCTTGAAGGTCTAAGATACTCCCTTCTGATGAGGCTCCAGTTAGAGACCCACATAGGAGAGAATCTTGATTCTTTGTCCCCTCCAAAAGATCTGGACAGGGAGGGGGTCTAACTGCTACAACACTGGTAGGTTCCGAGTCCCCTGAAGCACGGCTTGCATCTGCAAAGGCCTCATCAGGGCTGATAATCAAGTTGTCTTCTGGAGAAGCTATAATAAAGGTAGAGCCACTGGTCAGATTGCTAGGACTGCAATCCATGCTGTCAACATCAACACAAGGTTTTACAATATCCATTTCACTACTGCTATCCACAGGGCTTTCCAAAACTGTTCTTGGAGAAATTCTATTATCAACATCGCTCCTTCTGTTAACTCGATACCTACTATCAACTGTACTGCAAGTATTTGTACAGGAATTTTGGGAATCACTTTGTGATCTTAGAGGGAATGCATTACTATCTGTAGCTGCCTCACTCTTTCCCTTGGAAATTAGGGATGTTTCAGCATTTGGTTCAGTCTTGAATTCACTATGCAATCCACTTTCATCTTGGCCAGTAAATAACCTATTCTCAAGATAGTTGTCTCTTCTGTATAAGAAATCATCTGAATCACTGGCTGCCTTCACTGCAACTTGGAAATTATCACTGAGGCTAGAAGCTTCCTCAGACCTGCTGGGAGTCACTTCAGCACCTTGAAGAGTGAGCTGCGCAGAGGACACTACCTTTTTGCCTTTATTTTGAGTTTCATCTGTGGGAGACCTATCAGCTGCTAGATGAGATGCTTGGTCACTCCTGGCGTGAGGAATTACCCCAACAACTTGTGCCCTGCAGCTGCGACCTTGAAAGATACAAAATTATTTCTTTATTTTCTTCATCTACAATTTGCTAGATGTTGAACAACTAGGGTGTTGACAAATCTTATTTTCTCATGTCTTTTATAAAAAATAATGTATCCTTAGATGAAATTAAAATGTTCCCAACAAAAATAAATTATCATCAAAGGTTCTGCATTATTTATTAAGACAAAATATTAGTATAAAAAAAATACAATCACAACAAATATAAACTATTCAAGAACTAAATATAAAAGAAAACACAATGACACAACTATTATGCAACTTCTTATTAATTTGACCTCACAGTGACTATAAAGAAAATGATTTTTTTGCCAGAATTATTTTTAAAATGTGTTGTGAATTCTAGAATGCTTTTATCACTTCTCAGAACTCTTAACCATTTTGCTGGTTTTTCAAATTTAATTAATATTAAATTTAAAATTATTTTTATTAATATTTACAGTTAAAATAAGATAATAATTTTTAAAGTACCTTTGTAATGACAATGATACAAGAAGAATTTGTAATAGATGTTAAGTGGTATAAATATGAAATTTTGAAAGAAAATTAATTATAACTTGATTCATTACAACCCCCTAATCAAATAAGCTGAGCCCAACTTAAGCAATTACTTCTTCCTATTGTCTTTTTGGTAGACAGCCTAGGACAGCACAAGCTCTATTTATGCAACTGCAATTGTGAAGGTTAGTAATGAATTTGTTTTCATTTTCAGAAATAGAATCGTTTGGAAATTATCCTCATATCAACCACAAATACGTTCCCTTGAAGGTGCTAACTCTGAACAAATGTTGAAATACAGTGTAACAGAAATGTCTTTCCACACCGAGCCGAATGAGGGCCTCCTGTTAAAAATTGCATTTATATTGGTATCAACCAGATCACTGGGAAGCAAGTAAAGGGGACAATACTTCCAGCATCTATTATGATTGTGGTGAGTATGCAATTTACATTTTCAAGCTGCAACACAAATTACCAACATAATTTCTGTTGCAAGCACTCTCCCCAGCAAGGTGCCACTGCAGAGAAACTTCTCTGGTGCACCATAGGATTATTCTGTTGTTTAAACAAGATGCTATGTTTTACTGTTGTCATGAGGGCAAGAGACAATTACTGTCAAAATCAAATTTAGTGATCAACTCCTATTTTTTCTTTGTTGCAGATCAAAACGGGTAATATGCTCCTTAATAAAGGACAGTAAATTTAGGTAGTGAAGATAATTTCAAAGGACACCTCCACTACTCGTTCTTGCATTGACAGTACTTTCCAATTTTCTGCACACTAGTAATAATCAAAAAACAATTAATATCTGCTTATTGGGAAAGGTACATGTGTCTGTTGACAAGGAGTAGATTTGATAGGAGGAGAAAGGAAATCAAGTATCTTCACGTACTTCAAGTACCTGAATCAAGTACTTCTTTTTATTATAATATTTATTTTAAGACATTTTCTTTCACATTTTTGTCTTTAAAATCAAAGACAAAAATTATGTTCATTATATTGATATGGCATTGAAACATTCAATAATCAATTTGTTCCATTTCATTAACTAATATTAGAAATAGTAACATACGATATACACAAATTTTTCACAGCTATCTACTTCCACATCAATAAATTCTTGCCCACTTCCCTTGTTGCTTAAAGTAATTCCTGAGTTCATCCCTTCCTTTCCATGGCAGTAAAAGTAGCATGTAAATGCAAGTTTTTACTACTTTAAAATGTAATAAATGAAAAAAAATTAATTAATAATTACCTGAAGAATATGATGATTCTCTACTACCATCTGTTGTTCTACATTTTTCTTCTCTGAAATAAAAGAAGTAAATTACAAAAAGAGCTCACACACAAAGACATTGTAAAAATGAATTAAACGCATCTTATAATGAAATCTTCAAAACCCTGAAGGAGCAAATATTGAGCAGAGATTAGACTACTGCTGAATGTTCAAAATATCAGTTTTAATCTTTTAAATTTGCTCATAAGATTTAATTTGCTCTGTGCGCATTCTTGATATAATATTTGTTCTAAATTCAATTCTGTTGTGGGTATAGCAAAGATTTTGTACAATTCTAAAATACTAAAATTATTAATTTGTTGTAAGTTATTGTTGAGTTTTTTGAATTTATAATAAGTATTTATAATTTCTTACCTTACATACGATGAACTTGGTGGATAGTGCAAATGATCAATGGTTTTTTCTTGTAATTCCTTTTCTTGCTTTTCTTCTGGAGTATTGGGTGATCGTGAAGGTGATCTGGAATATTCAGTGGACTCTTGCAGGCTTGATGTGGATACAGCAACACGACTTGTGTTGAATGATGCACTTCGTGATGCTGGTGAAACAGATGTTGCCAAGGAATCAGGAGACCACTGAGAGGATCGACTGGGAGATTCCAAATTCGCACTACTTCCCGCAAGGCTTGCTTTCACTTCACTTCTATTTGGCTCACTACTGTGTCTTGAAGTTCTAGATTTTGAAAAATGGGAGGTCCAGTTCTTTTGCTTTTCTATTAATTCTCTACTATTGAATTTCCTCTCTGGCTTCTCTGGTTTGCCTGGTTTTCTAGGTTCTGGAGATGACGACTGTGAAAAGTGACCTTCTTTTGCCACTGATTCTCTGTCTGAACTTCCTCCATCATTTAGCTCTTCTTTTGAACCAGAACCATTTACACAAACATTCTCTCTCACTTTGCCTCCTTTCACATAAGGTACACGAGAACTTGACTCATATGAACTTGAAACACCTTGAACAGATTTACTGTCATCTGACAGGCCATTTGTTTGCAGGCCATTTCTAATGCATTTTGAAGGACCTTCTGAAGCCTTTTCTGTCTTCCGATAACCAGTAACTGATGGAGGAGGACAACTCACCGATATGGGGATAATATCAGAGAGAGGTCGCTCTTGGGAAGGGGACCTTGAAATTCTGTTACGCAAAGGAGAAGTTGCACTTGTAGGAGAAGTATCAGACCGAATACTAGGTGGTTGAGAGGAGGTTGGTATCCTTTGGACAATGGGAGGTGGTCCAGAAGGTGTTGACTTGTCTGCCCCGAGCTTCTCAAACAAAGCTCGAGCATTGTTGAAGCGAGCCACATGGCTCTCAGTGCGTACCACTGTTATTTGACTGGGAGGGGAGGCATCCCTGTCAGCTGGTCCATCACCTGACCCTTTCACTGGCTTGCTTTTTATTGTCACTGAACTACTAAGGGCTTCTGTTTCTTTTGCAGGTACCATACTTTGAAATATGTTAGCGATTTGAGATACTTTTGAGCCAGCCATTCTTGGTTTCTTTTCCTCCATGGTCTTCTAGTTTCACCAGTCCTGAACATACACAAATAGTCAAATTAATAAAATGTATAAAACTATGAAGAACATGAAATGACATCACTACATAATAGTAGAAATGTACCTCAACATCTGCAACTCTGGATTACTCGATGACATGACTGGTCTTCACTCATCCTCCCAAGGCTTAATCGCTGTAAATGTAAACAAACACGTATGAGGAGATTAAATTCGAGACTTACACACATAGGAATACAGGACGACCACTTTCAAATTCATATTACTTTTGAAAATGCGTTTTCTGGAAGTAAACCATTGGAGAAAGGCGTCGCTTCACTGTTAATACACACACTCGGCACCAACTGACACATGTCAAAATATACAATTCGATTAAATTGACAATGAGCCATTGAAGCAATAATCAAGTTGTATAGAGTCGGTATGTCTCTAAAATTTTAATCTGTGACCGAATTTATCACCAAAGTTTAATGCCACCTAATTAAAACTTTCAGTCAACTTTTGACAGGTTGCATCCGCACCTCCCCACTGGAATTCCGTTTTCCCTCCACACGACTTGACTGACAGTACTTCAGCAACACAATCACACTGAACACTACACTAGCGCTCTTCGTGTCCGTTCTTCCCAATTCGAGTCACGAGAAGAATCTCGGACCTACCGCGCGAGAACGAATCATATGGGCGAAGAGAATATTGCAGTGGAACACGGTCAGGAAAGTAGGCCCAAGTATAATACTCTCCGAGTTGGCCTGCTGATGAAGTAGATGTTAGTAAATGTTCAGTAAAAGGATCAGCAAGCGATAAACAAAAATACAGAACATTTAGCGTGAACATTTTAAGGGCAGAAACGAAACATTTATAAAATGCTTGTGGGAAAACATTCAACAAAATAGTTTTATGTAAAACTAAATTTCGGGTCCGCACTCCCGGATGTGCTTCGATTAAAAATTTAACTAGGAATTAATAACTGTAACAAGTAATGTACTTCAGCTTCCGGGTCAATGACCCCTACCTCGATCAGGTGTGTGTCCAGTTTCCCTTATCCGTTGAGCAAATGCTGAGATGGCCCCTCGTTTTGTTTTTAGAGGAGTAGAGGAGTACAGATGGGGGTGAGCTACTGTTTTCTCTGCCATGCAAAAAAATCAAATCTGCAGTTTGTTTTCCGATTCAAATACGTTTTCTATAACTTAGGAATGAAAATGTCTGGTTTTTCAAATGTTGCTGATCTTGCGCCTTTAAATTTTATTCTTATTTGTTTTGTTTTTATTTTTTTAAAATTTTATTCATCTTTCGTATTTTTTGTTAAAACGTTCGAAAGGAATTCTGAAATTTAAGAAAACGTGCGCAGATGATCTTCTCTCCATTATGTCATATACAGTTTTTACTGTTTTGCACTAAATAAATCAAATAAAAAGAGTGAAACAAAAAGGAGGGAGAGTAAGAGCAAGGGGAGAGAGAGGTCACTAATCATTAAGGCAATGTCCCAATTTTCCAAATGTTTAGTACAAACAAATTATAAAAAACTTGACGAATTTAAAATTGATTTCCTAAAATACAACACTTTCTACTCAGAAGATGATTTACACTTTCTAAGAATTGTGAACAAATCGTCAATCTGCCTTAAACCACCTATCACTATTCATTCGAAACTCCCGGAGAGAACCGGTCCCGCTGTCCCCATTTTGAAGTAAATTTTGGTAATTGAATGAGGTGGACTCCTCGTCTTAAAGCCCCGCCTGTCATGGGGCAACTGCTTAATGCACTTCCCGTGTCCGCGTCTTGGGGAGAAACGATTCCGCTGATGGGAGAGGGAACTTGACCGCGGAGGGTCGGAGGGATCAACAAGAAAATCGTTGAAGTTAAAAAACAAACAAACAAAATAGGCTATAGGTGTGCGCAAACTTGCGGGAGGGGTGGTTCTTCGCCTCAAGTGATAAACATGGCTTGGATTCTGATCATATGTCATCTTTTCGTTGGTGCATTCTAGACGTAGGAAACTTGTAAATGAATGTTTATCACGATATAGGGAGGCGATATAAATGTGTAGTTAGTTACTAGGTATTTTTTTTGTCATTTTCAACTTTTTGATCAACTTCTGGATCTTTGCAACATTTTTGTCATTTTTACTCATTTTGTTTCCTTTTCGTGTTTTTTGTTAGCGAATGTTTCATGAATTAACAATGACTAACTAAAACAAAATATTTATTATATTATCTGTTCATGATGAAATTCAGTACTTCAGGGGACTGTTTTTCAAACTTCCAAAATTACAAAAAAGTAACTTCCACGACCTTTAAAAACTGTCGGTTGGAAGATCGGAGCTAAGAATTACATTTCCTCCTAAAAAATATTTATATTAAATGTATTTTTACATAAATACATTTATGTGAATTATACAATTCATTGAATAAATAAACATATTCATTCGATTTTTTTAGTATTTGTAAAAAAATTCAGATCATTTCTCTCTTTTTTAAAGTCATTTAATAGGTCATTTCCAAAGAATTTTTTGGTTATCGGATTCCGAGCTACAGTGATAAAACATTTTATTTTTGTAAATACGCTCAATCCGTAATTTCCCCTTTTAACCTGGCAATTTTGGGAAGTGTTTTACATTTGTGGAAGATATTCTCCAAGCTATCAGAGAAACCTGTGTATGTTCAACAACATACGTGTATTTATTAATTGTGTCATTAAAGTTGCAAATTCAGTCTCTTTGCATGTTTTACTTATTTACTAGAAAACATATCACATGTAAACTTAAAAAAAAAAAAATTGGAAGAGGGGTATCAGTATTGTAATTAGCTTCCCTCCTGTTCCAGGCTACTCACGCCTATGGACCTTTCTCAAACATTTATCTACAACTTTAGGCCAATGTTTGATTAGTTCTTATTATCAAATCTTGCCAAAAAAGGCTCGTTTCTACTTATATTCTTAACTAGTGAACCCGGCAATGCATCGTTATTGAAGTGTATTACACTTTACACGCTACTGGCCACGTGATTGTTAATCACGTTTTACGCTGCGCCCTGCAAAAATATTAATAGGTGAAAGACTTTCTCGCGAGTATATGTTTGTTCTCTGTTCTGATTTGGAAATGGTTGTCAAGAATCCTATTGTTAAAACGTTCTTTCTCAAGTTTGAACATGCGTTCGCTGTATATTGTCTTGGAGAAATTTGATACACTTCTCCGATATAACGTAAAATATAGTACGTCCAAGTAATCATTACGACCAATATTTCACTATCGAAGGGGCAGAATATGCAGCTACAGACGCGCTTAATACACGACGGGGGCGCGTGAGTCATAAACTCAGAAATTTTCTTCAACAACGCCCCCACATGACCGATTTAATTCGAACAACTCTTTTAAACATTCCCGTTACTAATAAGAACAAAGTGTGAACAATGTAGTGAAATCAGTCGAGTAGTTTTTATGTCTATGTGCGACAGATATACGCACATTCCCTTTATTTATAGGTACAGATTTAACTTTCTACAGTGTAAGAGTCACGGATAGGAATTCCAGAGCTCACGAAAACGAGCAAAGGTTGCACTTCTTACTCTTAGTACATTGCACAGAATTTTAAAATGTTTTTCAAGTTAAATAAATAAATAAAACAATTGGAGCAAAATTACAATCTTAGTCGATTTGTTAGATGCATAATGTTTTTGTTGTAAATAATTTTGTAAGAATAAGATAAAATTAAATTATTTATCGATCAATGCTTTACTGATCGCTGACATATTATATATATATAGTAAGATGGTTATAAGATAGTTTAATTTTCATATATCACTCCGACGCATAAAAAAATTCGCTTGCTTTTTCGTTCATTAAATAACGTGATTCCGATTCGTTGGAAAGTTTTAAGGACGGGAAGAAACGAGCACAATACATGGCAAACAACATAAATTCCTTTTCAAAAACATATTTTTCTTTTTAGCTAACAGCAGAAAGAGGGACTCGAGTAACATGCAAAATTAATTAAACGTAGTTGTTAATAAAACTGATGAGCAGGAAAATTTGAAGAAAAATTTTATCGCATTCAGAAATTTGTAGACAAAGCAATGACAACAACATATCTTAAATGTTCTAACCTAACATGCCCAAGGATCTACATTTGGGAATGAAGTGCACATGAAACGAGGGACAAAAACGCTTGGTTATTGAACTAGTTTTACGTGTAAGTTATTACATAAATTTCTGCAGCTTTGCAGATTCGATGTTGAAGTGTGAAGAGTACTGTTCAATTCGGGTGCCAACGTTACAAGCGCTTCGGAAGCGCCAACGGAGCCAAAGAACGAGAATGTAGCGTCGATATGGGGGAATATCGATGTACGTAAACAAGATTATCATTCAATTAAGAAACAAAAAGCTCGACTACGTTTAGAAGTTTATAAGTTTAATCTGTAGTTTGTTGAGCAATGTAAACAATTTTCTGTAACTCGGGAACGAAAATGTTACTAACCTAGCTTTACTAGGTGCGAACAATTCCCACCTTTTAAATCATTGTTTTTAAAAGTTAAAATGCCTTTACACAGGCCAATGGCCACAATCTAGACCAATTTTTTCATCCGGTCTTCCTTGGTCCAATGTTGAGATGGCTCCTCGTTTTTCTTCTGGACATGATGTAGTACACTATCTGTGCACGTTTTTTGAGCACTGCGCGGTACCACACGTGTGGTCTTATCACAAGCAGTTTTAGGATTAAAATGTAAAATGCGAAGAAAAATGAGAAGTATAATATAATTGAAAATGTATCTTTATTATTAATGTTTGTATTCAAACAGTGTTAACAAATTAATCACATTAAAAAGCCGCCACTCACTGAATATTAATTTCTTTAATTTATATTTTTTCCAAAAAGGTTTTCTCACTCATTGGAATCAAAACACGATTTATAAACAGAGAAAAATGCCGAAGAAAAATGTATTAAAAAACGGTTTTTGCATGCTATGAATTCACTTTTTCCCGGGGAATTTTTTCCCAGAGGGGAACCAATTAATGAACGGAAGAGTGAAACTAAACCATGTCCACTTTTGCATCAAACTCTGAATACATGTCAAAAATATTTCAGTGTCGTCTTGTTTCTACGATTACGCAAATACTCTTATCTTGCATCTCGCAAAGAAAATTATATTTTCCTTCTCTCAAAAATTGTTTCACGTTTTCTTCTCTGTTCCGAAGATTTATTGTATTCCTCTATAAAGGAGTCGCTGTGAGAGCTGCAATTTGGGGAGAAAAGTTTATTGCGACTGCCACTCCCTCGAGAACCTTCTATAATGAGGATGGCCGCCCAAAGGGAAAGAGCGTCTGTAGGCTAGTCGGCGAGTGCGAGACTAGAACGGCGCGACTTGCAGCCTGACAATGCCTCTTCCGACGACACGAATAGTCTCTTCGGGACTTATAAACTCGACTGGAAATGCAGAAAAAAAATGTTTGCCCTTAGTGTAAATTGAAGGCGTTTTTTTTCAAATCCAATGATGGTCTCTGATATTCAAAGGACCAACTGTACCAAAGTAGAATGTGATTCGGTGTTCTGAATTCCAATTGCTCACACCGTCAGTTCGTAGGTAGACCATGGATACTCATCTTTAGGGCGTAGCTCCTCGATTGTAGGACATTGATCTTAAGTTTTTGTCCGTAAGACGTTGGTCCTTAACTATATGTTCTTAATGCGAAATAGTAGGTTTGGGTATGAATACATTTTTGACATTTGTCCCTAGGTTCATTGATTGATGTTTTCTGACAAATCAACTGATATTAGTCTCTTTAAGTGTAGTGAATGTTACATCCCAGAGGTGGCGGTGTTCCTCCCCGTTGGATGGTGAGAGTCGACGCCAACCTTCAAGTCGGCTTGCGAGGGATTTCTCTCTCTAGGTATCACCTCCAGCGGGGCACCGCCCGGCCGGAACAAGCTGTAATTTACGACTCGTCTCCCCACGTGTGTGATAGAATAATGCATTGTTTAAGTGTATGTGTGTGTGTGCGCGCGCGTGTGTGTGAACACGGGGAGAGGAAAGGCAAGGGTAGAGAAACGAATGATCGCGCGCGGTCCGTGGCCGTGTTGGTAGGGCACTGCCCCGGTATTCGCCTGGTTTTCATCGGAGAAACCACGGAAAACAAATGATCAGAGCAGCAGGCCTCTAGAATTCTCCTTCAGACTGCGAGTGAATTCGGACTAACGCTTCAACTAGAGTCGAAAATCCGCCACCGTAGGGACTCAAACCCTATGACAGGAATTTTCAAACTTTTTTCGACCACGGTTCCCTTGGCCTATACATAACTTCCCGCGGCTCCCCTGATAACAATACGTTTCAACTATAAGAGTTAACATAGGCCTACTAAAGATTCAACACAAATAAGTGATATAATATGCTATTTTATTTCTCCATTTTAAATAGATATTAAAATAACATAACACATTTTATTCAATTTTTAATTTTATGTCAAAATTCTTCTAAAAATTAATTGAAAGAATGAGCTTGCTTCATCATCAACAATTGTTCAAATATTGAAGCAGTATTTGAAACTGCGACTCGCAGTTATTTTTCGACGTTCAATTTGAATTGCAACCGAACATAGATTGGATACAGCTCGTGTGGGCACGGAAACCCTTGATCTGTGTGGGTAGAACTATTAAATATCCGCGACGCGCCCTAGAGATGTATGTCGATGCTAAAGGAGCCACAGAAGCTTATCGGTAAAGGACTTGCTAGGACAAATTAGTCCATAATTAATTAGTAAACTAAATCTTATTACAAATAACGTATAGAATGATAGTACAAATCTATTTTGTGAGTATAAATGTCATGAAAAAAGTAAAACAAATACAAAGATCATTTTTAATAAATCACCGCGACGCCTCTACCACACGGCCGCGACGGCCGTGGGAGCAGCGACGCACATTTTGAAAACCCTTGCCCTAAGGACTTTGTCAGATACGCCGCAGGGGCAACGGTAATGCTGACTTTGAGCTAATTCAGCCGGTCTTTGCCTATATAATCGCCAAACATGTTTTAGTACGAGTCCCTGTTCCCAGGTCTTCGGTCATCCATTATATTCTCTTTCAGCCATCCATTCTGTTCTCGTGTTTGTCGTAGATTGCTAATCCTAGATCCTACGTACCAGAGAACACTCGGCTCACTTAAATCCCAAGCTTATACACCTTCGACATCTGTCTGGATAAGTTCTTTGACTTGAAATAATCAGGGATTTCTTCGAAAGTTACAAAAAATGTAATTTACGTATCACGTTGATTCTCCTATCTTAACTTCAGAAAAAAATGTATTGAAAATTCGAGCGATATATAACTCTGTGAATGTCGCGTTTTGTAAACGATGTGAAGTTCTCTTCAAGCCATGAACGAAAGAAAAACACTACGTGTTCTCTAGTTTGTTCGAAAAAAGTTTTCACTCCTTATGACTCTCAGTGTAATCCTTTAGCAAACTTTTTTAACGCCAGAAGCCCAGTTAATTCGTTTTATTTCTGGAATATAAACAGGCAAACAAGTTTCCGTTGACAGAGAATAAGTTCAGGCGCATGCCACCGCCGGAATTTTCGGTGGGCCACCGGCTGTGCATGTGGTTTCATGTAGCATCGATCACACGGGTCTCGTACTCCACTGCCGAATTTCTAGCTCAGCCAGACTGACTGCGTAGCACATTTTAAGCACTTATACGATTAACTAATTGAAAGAATCAGCGAGAGCATTCCTGTATCAAAACTATAGAAACAGGAAAGAAAATTAAATTGTTCAATTTTGCGATTCAGTTAATAGAGAACATTTTAATATTTAAAGCGAATTTTCGTCAAACAATCTACAAATAAATAAACGTTTACCCTCATAGAAACACACATCTTTTTCGTGCGTCGTGATACACGCCATCGGGTAATTATTTTGACAGGTCTTAAGACAGATGAGAATAGCTCCGCAGTATTTTTCCGCCAGCTAGGTGAGCTGAAACCACAGCAGATAATACTACGGAAGTGGCAGTTCAGTGAGTACAAGTTAAAGAAAAAGGAAAGTTTGTTCTTATATCCTCACTAAAGATATTATCAATATTGATACAACTCCTGTCGAAAAGTGTGTGTGCCGTGAAAGATTAACCAGGGCTTCAACTGATGTCACTGCAGTGACTCTGACTGGGCGGTCCTAAGGTTACACTCTCGACAGTGGCACGATTTTCGACACTAGTCACAGAGTTAGGCCGAATTCAGTCTTTGCCTAGAAGATAATTATTGATGCCGACTGCTTAGGTAGTTTTTCGTGGTTTCTCCGATCATCACCGCTCGAATGCCGGAGCAGAACTCGAAGAAGTTGGTCATGGGCCGCGCGTGATCTTTCCTTCCTCCGCCCTGTCTTTTTACCTCACTCACACACGCATGCACTGCCCTACCAAATGTCTCGCGATACCAGTCGGCACCCTGTCCCACCTAGGGCGGAACCCCGCTGGAGGGAACCACCTGGAAAACATATCTTTTTTTTCAGATATCGGAGAGAACTATGATTCAAGAGATACGGATCTCACAATTCACAGGAAAGAAACACCGCCACCTCCTGAAACAAAACGTTCACTACATTAACGGGACTAAGGAGCTCTTGACCTGCCCAGAATGGTCAATCGATGAGTCTCTCTGTGCGGAAAGACGACTCTCCATTGGGAAACGCTTATCGGGTGAGCGCACCACCTGGACCGCAACTCAGCCTTCGAGAGCTTTCTCCGTGCAGGGCACGGGCCAGGGCGCACCGCTTTCTCAGAGAAGGCTTGGAATAAATAAGGGAAACAACGACAGGACGAGCGACCGTAGTGGCCCTGGCAGCAGTGTGTAACTGTGCTGGCAGTAGCGAAATTAAATATGCATTTATTAAATATTAATAATTGACTTTGATTGAAAATACCAGGAAATGAAGGTATTAAGAAAAAAATAATCACTTTTTATGTGCATTTTTTGAGAGCGTCCTGA